GTGTCTATCACTTTGGGGATGAAGTCCTGTAGTTGCTGGATCAACTGGCTTTCAATTGAAAGCATGGCCAATGCGTTAAGTCGCGGCTGTCCCATGGTGTTGCGAGTGAAAGTCTTTATCCTTTTGAGGGTGGAAAAGTTCCTCTCTGACTCGGATGTCGTCATCGGAGTTGTCACTATTATTTTGACCAAAATAACAGTCTCAGCAAACGTTTCCTCCAAGTTGTTCTCGTGAATGGATTTCAACAGAGACAGGGCAGTGTTTCCAGTGTGAAGCTCACTGTGGCGGTAGAGCGTGGTCAGCTCAGACTTCAACTTCTCCTTGTTTCCCAACGCAGGCCACAGTTTCACGGCGCAGTCAAGCTCAGGTGTAGGAAATGACAGGACATGCTGTGGGAAGAATGAGCTGTCAACAAGCTTTGCAGCGATCAAATGGTCACTCTGTGAGAACCTCTGTTCCACCTGTGAGATGACTGTGTCACAGGCCTCCTTCATCACCGGCGCTGTGCTGCTGACTCGTCGGCCTGGCTCGTCTGTTCCATCATGAGCAGTGGCGGCCAATGCATCAGTTTTCTGCCTCATTTTCTGAACATTTTCCTTGAAACGGCAGAGCGCGCTGTTGATCCCAGGTGCATCGATGCTTCGTTTTTGCAGAGTGTTGTATAGAACATCCACTTCTGGCATAAGCAACGAAAAAAACTCCAGGAGCTGCATAAATGCTCGGTCCCGCAGTTTCTTTGACAGGCCGTATGCCTCACTTATGGTGACCGCATCCCATCCTGGTTGTGCACGTATATACTTCATACACTGAAGTAGTGCATCTCGGGTCTCCCAAACCGCGTTCACAGTTCTGCTTTTAAAGTTCCATCTCACAGCCGGTGGCCGTGGGATGCGTCTCTGTGTTGCCTCTGCAAGAGCTGCAACACGTTTTGGAGCACCGGAGAAAAAAGTGGAAAAAGCAGTTAGATCTGCAAAAAACACCTTCAGGATGCTCATCCTTGCTGAACACAGTTGCTGCAGGGTCAGGTTCAGTTGGTGGGCGTAGCAGTGAACAAACTGAGCGTTTGGGTACGTCTCCTTCATCACCGTCTGTACCCCGCGCACGTTACCGCTCATGACGGCCGCCCCGTCATAGGTCTGAGCGATTAGCTTTTCTTTCAGCTTCAGGGGTTCCAGAACAGCCTTGATGCTGTTAGAGAGACCTACACCAGTTTTGTCCTTTACTTCCACAAACTCCAAAAAACGCTCTGTAACTGTGAGGTCAGGCATAATGTATCGCAGCACAATCACCATTTGCGATTTACAGGAGACATCGGTTGTCTCGTCGGCCTGAACGGCAACAAATGATGTGTTGTCCACTTGCTTGGCTATTTCCTCCCTGTACACATCATACATGCAGTCCAAGAGTTCATTCTGTATGGTGCTTGATGTCCCTTTGAAAACAAGCTGAGCTTCGTAGTGCCGTTGAAGCCTGGAATCGCCCTCACACATTGTCTCGAAAATTGACCTGAATATCCCTGGATTCAGAGAGTCCGCCGACTCGTTGTGGCCCCGCAGTGCTGTCTCACATTTCCCACAGTTTAATACAGGTGATGATCCGACCAAGCACGTACCTGTTTTCTTCCACCTTCCTATTATGAGAATCAATGCCGCGTCTGTAGGCGCTGTCAATCTGAGCTGCAACATTCACCCTTCCAAGTAATCCCAATTTTATGGCATTTTCCAAATGACTGTTGCTGCTCTCATGCTTCATTGTCCTCTCCGAAAGATGCTTTAAGTCCTTGTAACCTGTCCTCGACCAAGTACCTTGATCTTCACCAAAAAGCAGGCAAGGAAAGCAAAAGAGGGAATTCTTCTGGATGCTCGCCGTTAGCCATTTCTTTTTAGCAAACCACTCAGCGTTAAACCCACGTTTAACTTTGCCCGCAGTCTGGACCATTTGGAAATCCGGTGGATGGTGGGCACCGAGGCGCTTTACCTCCAGTTTCTCTCCGAGACTAAGTGTCTCAAATGTGTGCTCCAGTAAATGGTCAACTTCATTCATTTTCTTTCAGTTTTTTACTTCTTTTAATCGCTGGTGATGTTAGCTACGAGATGTTATCTCTCGTCTCCTCTTCAAACTACACGTGACGTTTCGCAGCACTGCACACGTGAGTACTTACAGCCAATCAATTCTGAATTATGTGAGATGACGTATGGTGGGGATGGGAGCACTATGCCCCTACGGTCATTATTTTTTTGCCACACACATTAAATAGAAAAATACTCTGAGCATGCGCAGTGTAGTTTTTACAATCACCGTTCACTTAGACTGTGAGAGGGAGGGGCAGGATCGGGTTTTGTCCCACATGGCTCTAAACAGCTCAAAACGGCACTCTAGACACTAATTAGAAGAACACAGACTAAAACAGAAATGTACAGACGAATCAGATTATTAAACATGACCTTAAAATATATTTTATATGTTTTTTTATTTATTTTTTAGTATTTTTTTGTAATCATTATTTGTAATACTTTCTTCTGACACTAGGTGGGGCTGTGCCCCACCTGCCCCTAATGACCCGCCGCCACTGGCTGTGAGGGGTTTCCGCGCGGTTTGGTTTTGTGAAGCAGGCACGCAAACGGTTACGTCATGACGCAAAGGATGACGCAATGACGCAGCACCAGTGTGGTGTGAAAAGAGCCGGAGCTAAACCGAAGAACCGGTTCAGAACCTGAAAAGCTCTAGCACGGAGCTTGAACCGGAGTTGCGTTGGTGTGAATGGGATATATGGCGCTGGCTAAGATAAGATAACTTTAACAAGATGCCTGTGTGCTTAGTACCAGGTTGTTATCATACCAGCAATGGGTCTTGCTTGTTCTTTCGCTTCCCGTCTGATGAAAGGACCAGGAGTGGCTGGATTAGGTTAGCTACATAGCTAGTAGCTAGCACGTTAGTTAGCATTACAGCCATGTCATTTTTATTAGCCTTAATATGAAGTAACATTAAGTAACCCAAAATGTTAAACAGTAAGAATAGTAGCCATATTTCGTGAACCCTTTGAAGAGTACTGTCACCGGTGTGATCATTCTATAATACACAATTTAAGCCCGGGGGAGAAATGCTAACGCTAGCATCGGCGATCGCCGATCTTTTCTACTTCATGCTATCTGCACAAATGGTTGACTTTAAACATTAAAAAGACCAAGCAGTTCAGAGAGAATCAAAGGAAGGCAGGCAGGCAGCTTTGCATGACATTCTTCTGGACGTGTTTCATTGTGGTGATAGTGAGGGTAGTCAATCGTTTTTTGTTGACAAGATCGTGACGGCCATCTTGGTGACGTGTGTTGTTTGGGGAGACCAGAGATGTAGTTCATTGAGCGTTTCACACAAACAAATGTTTTACTTCACAGTTTTACGACACATTTTTTATTTGCAAAATTATCTTTTCAATTGACAAACATCATATGTGTAATTCGTGGCACAATTCAAACGGGATCGACAGATAATATTTCTCTCTCTCCATTGACTTCAATACATAATTTTTCCGAAATAAGGTCCCATGGAGGTCCACCGGAAGGGGAGGGACTTCGCCACTCTATAAGGTCCCATGGGTCGGAAGTAGATCGGCGGGGCTTCGCCTCTCTATCTTCTTATTATACATCCATGCTCTCTATAGACACCTGCAAGGGTTGCTAATTATGCTATCCTCCTAAAATGGTCACGATGCACTGCGGTTCCCATTTCCTACACGTTAAACAATACTAAACACATTTTTTTCAGCGGATTAGCTATAACACCATGTTGTGTATTTTTCAATCAGTCAAAGTAAATAGTAGCTTCGGATATTCACGGTTGGCAATCAATCAATCAATGTTTATTTATATAGCCCAATATCACAAATGTTACATTTGTCTCAGTGGACTTCACAGTTTGTACAGAATATCAGTATGACAATACGTCACCCTCTGTCCTTAGCTTAGACCCTCACATCGTACAAGGAAAAACTTCCAGAGAAAACCCAGTTTAAAGGGGAAAATGGGAGAAACCTCAGGGAGAGCAACAGAGGAGGGATCCCTCTCCCAGGACGGACAGACGAGCAATAGAAGATGCCATGTGTAAATTGAAAGTAGTGTATTTACTGACGTATTTTATATCGTAGGACAAAACGTGTAATCTCTTCAGTTTTGTTAACACCAGATCTTATGTCAGGCATTTAACGACAAACACGTTCAATAAATTGACTTCGAGACGAGGGAACAGGAAGTGGTAAAAAGTATGTTGTGGGTTTTCAGGACACATTTGTGCTCCACTTTAATACATTGCCTGAAATCATGTAGGCTATGTATAAAATGATCCAGTTCTCATACAGACAGAATAAGAGAGGTGGAGGACTTGCTACCATTTTCTCTAATGACTTCACATGTTCCAATTGCTGTTTTGGAGACTTTTCTAGCTTTGAATACTTAACTGTTACAATCTACGTGTCGACCCCCTAAGCACAACGCCAATTTCATCTCTGAGTTTTCAGATTTGATGTCAATAGTAATTACCAGTTAGTTACTATAGGATTACAGCTAAATCTCAAAACATTTTAATATCGTGGAAAAGTTGATTAATTTCAGTATTTCTATTTAAAAAGGGAAACTCATATATTATATATGATGTGTTTTAATCTTGATGATTACGGTTTAGAGAGAACCCAAAATTAGAATATTGAAAAAATGCTCTCATTGATTGAGATTCGTGATGACGCCCTCCCTAAGCCAATACTGATACACACACATAATAATAAATAATTGTTGGCATTAATGATTTAACGCCTTAACGCGATAATAACGCGTTAACTTGCCCAGACCTAATTATAATACTATGCTTGAATCAAAACAATTGTTTCAGATTTAATGAACACTTTTCCACTCTCGCACGCTGGCTCTGTTGATCTATTGCACAATAAAACAAAAATACAATATTATTATTATGTTCAAACATAATAAAACAGACAGACAAGAAGTCTCGCATGTTTTTAACCACTTTTATTATCTTTATCATTGTCATCGTTATAATTTCAGTCATTAATTTACAGCAAAGGACTCAGCGAGCTCCTTTTATTCCACCGACTGCATCTCAGTAACATAGCTCTCCAGAAAATAGAATTATAATTGACTTTCTAAAACAATATCAATACACTTGGAACAATCAAATATACAACAATAATCCTTTGCATGTATAATCAAATATTTATCTGGTGTTTAACGTGACACTGGCAGGACACAGAACACACTATAACCAGTTGCATTTACACACACAAGGAAATCAGATTTTTGAGAGAAAAAATCACATTCATAACTACATACTTACAATTTGTTCAAAATTCATTTTTGTATAGGTTTTTACAGCACTTACATGAAATTGCAACATTATATTATTTCTGTTTGACTATTTGCATTTGGCACTCTTATGTGTTCAGTTAATGGGACTATAGCTGCTCATGCTATAAAATAAAAAACATACTTTACAAAAAATAAGTAAAACATGTACAATAATTCAAATGGAAAAGGGTTTTATTTTACAGCAACATTTTCACATTTTGGGAAATATGCTTCTTTCACGAGAGTTAGATGAGAACATTTATACCAAAGCGTTATTCACAAAATGCCTTTAGCTTTGAAGCCTTTTTTGGAAAATGTTAATAATATTGAACATGTTAGGAACATATGCAAATGTATAGAATGTCATGGAAATATCAGTAAACAAGGGAGTACACTCGACCTGCAACGATTGGTCGATTGACAGTAAAATAATCGTCAACTTTAGGAAAAGGGCCTTATTTGTATGTAGTGCCTCTACTCTCACATGTCTCCATGCTTTAATGTTCAAAAGCTCTTAATTCTTCTCATACTGCCTGTGCTGCAGCACCTCTTTTCACCCTCTGTCTGAAACCAGAGCCCAGTCTGCTCTGATTGGTTAGCTGGCTAGCTCTGTTGATTGGTCAACCGCTTAGATATACATCACGTACAATGTGTTGGAGAGCTAGCCAATAGTGATGTCACACTTGTTTGAGCCTTTGCAGACCCTTTCCGTAACACAGTAGAAGAAAAGGGAAACCCCCAAAAAGCACAACAGGGCCTCTTTAAAATGGATTCATCTTTTTAATCTGCAATTTCTCATGCACAAATGTCACAAAAACCTCTCAAATCCAGATGTTCTTATTTTCTCTGTTTCAAATCATATTACATTGATTACCCTTGAGATATCAACTGCCATAAAACTACATTTAACATTTAAATATTGGACTAAACGATTTAGCTCATAAGAAATTGTCAGATTAATCGACAATTTAAACGTTTGTTAGTTGAAACAGATAAGACAACATGTGCTTGAACGAAAATAAAAAAAAGAACAGCCATCAGTTTGACATCAGCAGATTTATATCTCATGTCCTGTGTGTATGCAGCCGGTGTTTTGGCATTTAGACCTGGCTGTGCTGAGTCAGCAACACAGTAACCATGAACCTCTCTGTATGATCAGCAAGGTAACCTGTGTGTGTGTGTGTGTGTGTGTGTGTGTGTGTGTGTGTGTGTGTGTGTGTGTGTGTGATCAGTAATATTTGGCTAATAAAGGAAACATTAACAGACTAAATAACATGTAAACAAAATGTAAACATCTGAATGCTAGCGGCGCCAGAGCGGGAACTCAAGTTGGATTTTATTTACGTTTACTTTCAACGCGCGCACACACACACACACACACACAAATATAGAACATGTTGGCACACATTACAGACATGCACAGACACAGACAGTCTCACATACACAAGCAATGTATGGCCTCACACACATGGTCAGGGGTCACAGTTACAGCAAGGCATTGTGGGAAGAGTGGGTGGACAGGGGGAAGCGCACATGTTTAATTATGTTTACAATTTGTATACAGTGTGTGTGTGTGTGTATTTACAGTGAGGGTACAGGAGAAAAACCTTGTGCAAGTGCATGCAGGTCCATCATTTGTGCCTTAGTGTGTGTGTGTGTGTGTGTGTGTGTGTGTGTGTGTGTGTGTGTGTCTCAAAGTGCTCGGGGGATGATGGTGAAGGGCAGGATGGGGCTGCTGGCCTCCAGCTCCAGCGCGGTCAGGAAACACTCGGTTGCCGCAGCGGCGTTTCCCTGAGCCTGCAGCACCTCCCCTAGACTGTTCCACACATCATGAGCCGTACTGAGGGGGGAGGAGAGAGTGAAACAAAAGAGGAGAAGAGAAAGCAGGAGTATGGGAGAGAAGGGGAGGAGAGGAAATAAGAGGAGGAAACAGGAGTCGTGATGTTATAGGAGATGAGAGGAGAGTTGTATAATCGGAGGGAAGGGGAGAGATCAAGAGAATTAGGAGAGGAGGAAAGGAAGAGAGAGAATGAAAGAGGAGAAATGGAGGTTGGGAGGACGTATGAGAAGAGAAAACAGGTGTAAAAGGAGAAATGGGAGAAGAGGGGGATAAGGACGAGAGTAAGAGCGAGGTGACATGAGAGAAAAGGAGGCAGGGAGAGGATAGGAGGAAAATAGAGAAAGAATGAAAAGGGAAACCGGTGTAAACAAAGGAGGGAAGGAAAGAGGAGAGGAGGAAATGGAAGGAAGTGAGAAGGGAGGAAATAAGAGAAGAGGAAAGAGATACAGAGAGACATCAATGTAAACAGGGTGAGGACAGGGGAGAGGAACAAAAGGAGATGAGGAAAGACGGAGATGAGAGTAAGGAAGATGAGAGGGGAGTACAAGAAGATCAGAAGGAGGGTAGGAGAGGAGAAGGAGAGATAAAAGGAAGCAGGGAAAAGGAAAAGATGGGAGGAAATAAGAGAAGAGAAAACAATATTACAACATTTGAGGTGAGGGGAATAAAGCGGAGAGGAAAAAGGAGGTGATATGAGAAAAGGGAAGCAGAGGAGAAAAAGAGGAAACAAGAGAAGGAAATAGAAGAGAGGAAAGGGAAATATAAATGTGAATGACATTAAATATAATGATAACGTCAATTCCAATCTCACACACACACACACACACACACACACACACACACACACACACACACACACACACACACACACACACACACACACACACACACACACACACACACACACACACACACACACACACACACACACACACACACACACACACACACACACACACACACACACACACACACACACACACACACACACACACACACACACACACACACACACACACACACACACACACACACACACACACACACACACACACACACACACACACACACACACACACCTGTTGACCTGCACAGCGTCCCGCAGCACTTTCTCTGACAGACTGTAGCGCTGCAGCTGGTGGAGGATCAGACCCTGAGCAGAGGATGAGGAAGAGGAAGAGGAAGAGGAGAGTGAAATAACGACTTATATCAGTTTATCAATTTGGTGTACACACAAAGGACTCCTGAAAACCACTCACTTTGATTTTTCTTTTACTTTTTTTTGTGTATTTTAAAAAAACATCCACGTTTATATAAGGTCTGGGCGATATGAAGTATCACATTTTACAAGATTCTTAACCAAATACAGCAATATCGATTTTGGAACGATATACTGTACTGGGGTCGACCTTTAAGTTCCTTGATGAAATATTTAGACTTTTTTACATTTGATAAATATTCATCAGTAATGTGGAATAATGCATTTGTGGGTCAAGAAGACAAAATGTTAAATTACATTACTGTAAAGCAGCTTTTAAAACCAGGACACTTCAATTCAATATTATGATATCAATGTGAGGAAAACCCTGAGGCCTGTACTACGAAGCTGGTTCAACCTATCCTGGATATATTTAAATTAGCCGGTTGGCCTAATCCAAAACATACGCGTTCTCGCTAAACGGTACTACGACGCGGGTTATCAAGTGGATCGCTCAAGCCAGCCGTTTCCTATCTAGTTAGGTGCGCGTTCACATGAAAGGGGTGGTATCTGGAGCATTCGACCAATCACAGACATGGAGAAGCGTACTGACAGCGCAGCGTCATACTTCCTGAATGAAAAGTGAACTATAATATTAGACATATGAAGAAGTTAAACTTTAAACATCCATGACTTAAACACTTTATCCAGGATCAAAGCCACATAGCTGCACCTGCAAGGTGAATACAGCTGGCAAAAGAAAAAGTGTTTGAATGCATACATTAACAGGTTTATGATATCACTGCGCCGTCTAAGACACGATCTGACTTTAATTACATTTGAGTGTTTCGTCAACTTAATGTGTTGCTTAAAATAATACTTCTGCATACAGTCTGTGACACTGTGAGTGTTGCACGGCCAGATACGGCTCAGCTGACTCAGATAAGAAAATATATGATACATTATGAAGTGATATGCCGCGGACTGTACTTAATGTTACTCTGATCCGGTTACTTATGTTGTGGCATATATTTAAGTAAGCTTTCTTAACGCTAATGTTATAATAGTCAGATTGCTCTGAAGATGGGAGGTGATATTCTATTAATGTTCACGTTCACACAGTCGGTGATTTTTGCCGGCCGTCTTTCCTGCGACGGCAGCTTTTCTGTATTTCCTTTCTCCTGTAATATGACTTGATCGCTTTAAACTCCGCACACTGAGCTCTGATTGGTCAGCAGGCAGTGCTTTCACTGAGTTGAGCTCTTAGCCTGCAACCTAACCTGGTCCCGACCAGGTTAGCCGCTAAGCATAAGTTACCATGGAGATCTAGCCTGCTAAAAAGAGAACCAGCTTCGTAGGACCGGAAAGCCGGAGTTTTCCCTGAATTTAGCCGGCTAAGCGAAAATCCTGCTTCGTAGTAAACCCCCAGGTGTGTTTGTTGTGGGATGTGTTTGTGTGTGGCTGTGTGTGTGTGTGTGTGTGTGTGTGTGTGTGTGTGTGTGTGTGTGTGTGTGGTTGAGTGAGTGTATGTGTTTGAGTGTGTGTATGTGTGTGGTTGAGTGAGTGTGTGTGTGTGTGTGTGAGTTACCAGTCTCTGCATGGTCTTGACGTGTGTTGGGTTGATGGACAGCGACTCTTCGTACCAGCGCTTGGCCTCCTCGATGTTCCCCCGGAGCTCTGCGATCTGCCCCCTCATGTACAGTACATTATGGGACGTGGGGAAGAGGTTGGAGGCTTCCTGTGTGCAGGCCGAGGCTTCAGCCGGCTTCGACATGCCGGTGTACACCTCCGCTGTAAGAGAGGGGGGTCCAAACATCAGAGAACATTTCCCGTTTCTAAAGTGTAAGATTTGCAGCCTTATTAACATCAGTGTATTTGAGTAAAATCCACAAATAGCACGATACTGTTCCACACATCATGAGGAGGAGAAACAGGGGGAGGAGAGACAGGAGGAGGAGAGAAGGAAAGATGAGAGGGGTATTATTGGAGGATTGATCAAGAGAGGAAAGGAGAGAAAATGAAAGAGGAGAAGGGAGGGAATAAAAGAAGAGGAAACAGGAGATGAGCTGGAAAAGGAAGCAGGGGAGGATAGAGCAGAAGTTAAAAAAAAGAATGAAAGAGGAGAGGGTGTGTAAGGAGAGAAGGAAAGAGGAGATGAGCTATTAGGAGAGGTGAGAGGACTGGTCGATAATCAGAGGGGGAAGGAGAGATTAGGAGAGGAAGGAGCTTAAAAAAGACGAGAAGGGAAGGAAATAAGAGAAGAGGAAATGAGGTATGAGAGACGGGAGGAGACGCGGATCAAAAGAAGAGGGAAAGGGTAATGAGAACTAAAAAAGGAAGCAGGGGGAGGATAGGGGAGACCAATGTAAAGAGTAGGCAGGAAAGAAATAGGATGGAAGGAAAATAGATAAGAAGAAACGGATAATAAAAAAGATGGGATAAGAGGAAAAGGGAGGTGATGAAAGCAACACAAAAGAAAGCAGGTGGAGGATAAAGGCAAATAGGAAGCAGGAAAACATCAAGAGATGAGAGGAGGAAGTGGGGAGAAAAGGAGAGGGATTGAAAAACGGGGGGTGGGTAGTCTGAGAGATCGGCAGGAAGGAGAGGAATAAAGAAGAGAAGAAGAGCTGTATACTTACTGAACAAATAGATAGCAGTCGATATAACCACCACCTCGTCAAAGCAAGACTGCAATTCCCATAAATGCTGATATTGTGTGGCACAACGTGAAAGTGCTCCATCTCAAGTTACATTTTGAAACCTCTCAAACTGAAATGATGCATTTAAAAATAAAAGCCACAGACAGACAGCTTAGTGTAATAATTGTGATGACACATTCGCAAAAGAACGAAGCTACATTTTTTATAATGTTTCAGCATCAAGGTGGCCTAATGCACCGTGCGCAGAGCCACAGACCAACCAGAGGAGGGGACGGAGGGAGGAGATGACTTCTAACCGTCTGCTCGTCTGGCCTGTGATTGGATGATTGTATTAGCGGTGTCGTCAGGCTGGAAATGACCACCTCAGTGATAAACAGTGTGTGTGTGTGTGTTTGTTTATTATACTCTTCAGACTGCTTATGTTTGTGTCTGCTGGGGAGGCAGACATGAGAATGGAGTGTACTCTAAAAGTGATTTAATCTGCCTACGCCCTACGAGCTGATGTTAGTACTAAAAGACAATCATTCGGAGAACTAGCAGACAGACTGTTTGTGTTGTTGTGTAAAACCAAGGGCGTAGTTTGGCATTTGGAGGACGGTCCCTTTCAGTATTTTAGAGGACAGAATTGTCCCTACCATTATTTGAGCAAAATAGTTTCTGTATTATCTTTGATGCTTAAGTCATATTAGATCATTCGCATGTGCTCTTCCGGAGGTTTCGTCTTTATTACTGCCTAAAATGGAGAAGGCTATGCTTTGACCTGTCCACCTGTTGCAAATTAAAATCATGGCGAAAAAAAGATAGAAACCAGATAACGTTGATGACAAAATGTCGTTATCGCAGATAACATCAAAGCTATGGTGGCCAACATGTGCAAACGCGCTACAACAGCCCAATACACTTTCATTAGGTGAAACGCGCCACAGCTTAAAATACGATGCAAATATAAAAACAAAACATTTGCCAAAACACATGCAAATGAAGAAACATCTTCACCTACTTGACAACGCATGCGCAGCATTTAGAAAACACTAACCAAATGCACTGCATAAACGAAACATTGCAAATACAAAACGCTACAAGAAGCTTAAACACATGTTGTCAAGTTGGGGAAGATGTGTTTTTATTAGGGCCGGGACTTTAACGCGTTAATTAAGATTAATTAATTACACAAAAATTAACGCATTTTAATCGCACTTATTTTTGCACCGCGGAACGTTTCTCACTGGATGAGTTTCAGGCGTACCGATTATACTGGAGCACCAACTAACGTTCGTGACTTCAGACAACAACAAACCACAGTGAACAACAGTGGGAAATGTTGTTTTAAAAAACGGACGGATGGAAGCGTCGATAAGAGCACGGTTGTGTGCAAATTATGCAAAAAGGAATTCGCATATCACCGCAGCACATCAAGCCTCAAGTATCACCTCAATGCAAAACATATAGCAGCTAGCGTGGAAGCTAGCGTGGACGTTAGCCTCTTTTATCGCGTTCACACCAAAAAGAGCCGGTACTAAAATTAGTTCATGAGAACCTTTTTACCCCCACGAAAGTCCCTGCTAGAGAGCAGAGAGCTGCTAGAGAGCAGGGACTTTCGTGCGGCTCTGAGAAAAGAGCTATATTTCTGATTGGCTGGGCGGTTTGCAAACCACGCCCCGTAAAACTCCCAAAAAGTTTTGTGAAGCCGCCATTTTATTATCCTCGCATTAGCATTATTAGCATTAGCCCAGCGCAGAAACGCAGAGAGACTAACTTATGGCAACACAAAATAAAACATGGGAGCGGTAGAGATGAGGAGGTGTCGGCGTTCTGGCGATTTACTCGGAAGGCTTCAGTAGAAGCTGCTGGGACTCCCAGCAGCTTCTACTGAAGCCAGTCCCCAACTCCGGGGACTTTGGGCGGCAGTATACGCCGTGAAGTGGTTTGCGGCCTGCCAGTAAACCTAAAGCAGAAGAAGAAGAAGTGACGTCAGCGGCTTCATTTGCCTAATCCTCCCCCAGGTTCAAAGAGTTCTCATGAACTAAGTTCTCATGAACCTTTGTGGGAAAAGTACTGCGGTGTGAATGCGCCTAATGGTGTACTAAAATCCATGTGAAAAAAATTGCTTCTCACTGTTCTCAGGTCAAATATTTATATGTGATTAAAAATGCGATTAATTTCGATTAATTAATTACAAAGCCTCTAATTAATTAGATTAATTTTTTTAATCGAGTCCCGGCCCTAGTTTTTATATTTGCATCGTTTTTTAAGCTGGGGCTGCGTTTCTCCTGATGGAAATGTTTTGGACCGACACAAACATGTACACACTTGCCAAACACTTGAACATCTGTTGCACTTCCATGCGTGTAGCGGCCTGTTGGTTTGCCTACATACCTGCGTGCAGCCAGATCTGAGCCAGGGTCATCCAGGGGTGCATGGGTCCGTGTTTGGGGGCACTGCTCTGCATGGAGGAGGCCACCTCGGACAGAGCCTGCTCTACGCGACTGGCTGCTATAGACGTAGCATGAACTGAGCCTGGAGGGAGGACATCCAAACATTATACACCATCATCTCCTGCAGGTACTGACTAACTACTGCAGCACACAGCAGCTTTTAATTCTACCAAACAATATCAGATTTCCCAGAAACAGGAAGTGAAATCTGGAGTGTTTGGGTAAAGCTCACAACTCTAGGCTCGCAGCTTCCTGTTCCTGCTCTAAAGCCTTCAATCAGTCCACACCATTCCACACGCTGCAACACACAGTGTTATGCCCCCTGGATTAACCAGGTTTAAATGGATTAATTTCTGCACAACCATGCATAAACACCGCATCAACCTGCACTCAGATGATTAGTAAATGCGTCTCACATTTTGTCTCTGCAATTGGATTACATTATAACAGGGAGGCAAAATGGCCACCACACGGGACTGCAGGAGCACACTGCAGATCTGTGAAAGCCAAGCATAATACGTCTTCTGGTGTAATATTTGATCATATCCTGCACAAAACAAATGTAGTTAAAATGACCATTTATGGGTTTTCTGATTCGTACGTTAACCAAAATAATGTAAAAATGTCTTGAAAAGGTATATTTTTATCCATGACTTTGATCAATTTGACTGAAAATGTATGAATAAATCCACTTTGATCTGACCTTTTATGAAACGTGTTTTGGCACAATTGTGTGCTTTTTTATTTGCAGCGTTGTTGAAACTTCAGGGCATTTCTCCTAATGGAAATGTTTTGGGCAGTTTTTTGCACTTGTTGGCCACCGTAGATTAGGATAAAAACGTCTAAACACGTATATTTTTAATACATTGCATTGATAAATATTAACTGAACGTTGATGACTAAATCCACTAAGATCCGTTCTCTGTGTGCAAATTAGATTTCGTTACATTTTGAGAACTATACAATCTTTATAATTTGAACATTTTAAATCGTTTTGTTCTTTTCAATAAATGCTGTAAAATACAGACACTGATTATGCTTTACATTTGTAAAAATGCTAGTGCTAGTCTAATGTGGTAGACGACCTTTTTGGTTTTTAAGTCACGTCATTTACAGCCTGCAGTGATTATATAACTATATAAATATGCGCTTTTTATATCCTGAACATGGACTAAAATAAAAATGGGGAATGGTCGAAGCTCGCCAAAATAAAAGCTTTACTTTAATAAAACATCTCCCATCCCCTTCTCCTATTATTCTGTTCTCTATGGTCCAAAATACTCTTTCAACTACAATGACATGAGCTGTGTGTTGGGGTGTTAAGGGACAGGAAGTAACCATGTGTAAAAGACAAGTGAGACGAGGATAAAAAGAGAAGATTTGAATATGCACAATGTGTTTTAGAAGTAATATAGTTTTACATTTACATTAGCAAGCATCACTAACACTCAGAGCTAACGCTGTACTGGAGAGAATATGTGTAAAGAAGCCGGATATAAAAAGTACTGTCCTTATGGTCAACCGGCGAGAGAGAAAACGTTTGAGCTCCATACTGTTTCAGAAATAATGCTTGATGTGGTTTGGAACATAATACAGCGTTTAATCACGGCAGTGTTCAGCTGAGTTTCTGCTGGTAGAGAGTCTTCTCTTCACAGAGCTCACTGCTTGCATGTGGACGCTCCAAAGGGGCGTGGCCAGCAGCAGCTCGGTTACATTTAAAGGGCCAGACCCAGAATCAGCACTTTTGTAACAGGGCTGAAATAGAGGGGTATGAGGCATGGCCACAATGGGTGATCTGTTTGGTACTTTGAGCAAAACACTTCAGAGACATTTTTCTAAAGATATGGCCCTATAATATATTGTTCAAATATAGCATAATAGGTGAGCTTTAAAGTTGAGCAGAATTGATATTGAGAGCATGAGCGTCTCTTCTACATAATTATGAGAAGACCCTGCCTTGCCTATTGGAGACAGTTTTTTTTTGTTTGTGACCTCTATAGGCAAGGGACTATAAAAGACTATTTTTCCCATGGCAAGCCTTTAATTGGCTTGATTTGATAGCTGGGTCTGTTGTGATTGGTCAACTGCTTAGAGATGTCCCGCTTATCGCGTACAATGTGTTGGAGCGCTAGCCAAGAGAAGCCCGAGTGATGTCAGTATCTTACTGAAGTAAACAAAGGAGTCCAATGGAGGCCTTTAAGGCAGGGGGGTTTTGGGGTATATAGAAGGTAGGTTGAATAATACAGAAGAAACCCAATTTTAAGTGTTTTATCAATCTCTCCATTTATCAATATCCAACATGTTGTTTCCCTCACATCCACCCCTTTTACTTTTCTACACTGTTGTTGTTGGCTTTTAGTGATACGCTTATAGACAGACGGTAGGACATATGGCCTTGTCAGTGAAAGAACAAAGTGCTATTACATCAGCGGTTAGTTGGAGTTGTATTGAGAGGAACAGAAGTAGTGATGCTGTATATTTTCTTATGAATTGCTTTCACTCTGACCATTTTGTGGCCCTTATATTCAAATCAATCTATGAACTGGATGTTTTGTAATACTGACAAAACCATGAGACTTTCTTTAGAATATATAGAAGTTTTCACTTGGTGCCATTAGAGATCTGCTAGCAGACTACGTAGGAAGCCTCCTGCCGTGCCTTGTGCCTAACATGTGGGCATTTCACACAGCAACACATGCACCAAAGCTGCTCACTGAATCAAAGGAATACACTGACTGACAGGAACAAATGTACAGATGTAAAAAAAACAAAAACGTTTCTCTTTAAGAAGATGATCAATTGGCTATCGCTTGATTTAAAAACCTTTCCATTAGAGTTTGTTAGATATGCACTAATTATATGACTTTGTTAAAACGACAGAATTCAGATCCTTCATATCAGATCATAGTTATTCACTAAAATCACTGTTAACTTGTTTTCACACGTGTGCAACAAATGTTTGTTTCTAATCAAAAAGTAAGGTAAAGTGATTCCAGTATGTTTAGTGCCATTTTATTTTGACTAGTGAGAATGGGTTAAAATACCCTTTGTTGAGAATGTTAACATGTCATAGAATACTAATTTATTGTGTTTTTCACAATTTGATGATTGTCAGGATAAGATCGTGTATGTCTACCACTATGACCAGGATATTGTGACCTCAAATGTTCATATTGCCTATGCCTCTGTCAGCATTTGCTCTTTTTTTGCTTTTATCACGTTATATTCCTTTAAGTCGTTGTATTCCTTTCAAATCAAATACCATCAACTTGATATCAATTCAGTACAATTCTCCTGAAAACTGGCTGCGGACATCACGTTAAAGCAGAGGATATATGTACATTTTTCCTTCCTAAAGATAATGTACATATATCGGAACCTCATCAGGAAAGAGAAGGTCAACTGGGACCGGAGGATGGACGGAACAATGGATGGAAAAAAGAAGGTCAGATGGAGGTTACATGGCTACTTACAAACAGAAAACATGGAGGAAAAACCAAGAGTGCTAGCGTCCTGAAAGCCGCCTTGACACAATGGAGGATGGGAAGAAAACAGAAATACGATTGTTAATGATTGAAAAAAAGGAAGAGACAGAGAGGAAATATCCAAATAAGTACGATATCAAAAGATTGCCATAAAGACGATAGTAGTGCAGGTCGAAGAGGTTTTTATTCTTTACTTTTAGATCAAATGCTGCCTCCACTTGATCTATAATATGCTGTAATCTTTTCAAATAAATGCTTACTTATGAGCACATACTGTATGTACATATACAGCCATAAATGTTGAATAGGATATATTCTGCTCATTTTCAGGTTAATATTTGTATTTTCTGCTTTGACATGTCTCCATGCTTTAATGTTCAAAAAGATCTTTACTTTTCTCATACTGCCTGTGCTGCAGCACCTCTTCTCACCCTCTGTCTGAAACCAGAGCCCAGTCTGCTCTGATTGGATAGCTGGTCGGCTCTGTTGTGATTGTTCAACCGCTTAGAGATCACCCGGAATGACATTGTATCACGTACAATGTGTTGGAGCGCTAGCCAATAGAAGCGCGAGTGTTACACAGTGATGTAGTGTCGAAAGAGGATTCTTTGGCTTGAATTTTCTTAGGTTCATGATATCTCAAAATGAGGTAGTGCAGAGTAACTATATATAATAATATACTGTAATTATCCTCTTGCTGACTGAAAAAAAATCAAGCTCTGGAGCCAATTACAACCATTATTTTCAGTCCAAACATCATTAGTATAAGAGATGGCAACATAGAGAGACAACATAAGGTTGGAAACAAGACAAATTGATGTTGGCTCAAATGTAATATCCTCACAGAAATAGAAAGAGAAAGGAGGAGGATGCAGAAAATGAACACAAACAAGAGACACATATCCAGGGGAGAAGTAGATAGATGTGAAGAGACAGTAAAGCTGTATGTAAAACTATTGTGTATATCCACAATGAAAAGAGAACTCAACGGATTTCAGTATCCTTGTGTTCATTTAAAGGTCCCATGTCATGGCCATTTCCACTGATCATAATTCCATTGTTGAGGTCTACTAGAATAGATTTATACTGTGCGATTTTCCAAACTCACATTGGTTTCGCATACAGCATCTCTGTAAAGTATGTGTATTCAGCAGTATTCACTCTCTCCACTAAACGGCTCGTTGCAGCTCTTGCCCCCCCTCCCTGTGAGCCCAGTGTGCTCCTATTGGTCGGGACCAGTCGGGACGTTGTGAATCGCGCTAAGCTCCGTGGAGGTGTGATTTCCTTGTTTAGTGATACACAGCGAAACACAGCCAAACTCACCCTGAGCACACACAAAGTCACAGCCGAAGTAAAAACAATAAGTGTGGCTTGATATTGAGTAAGAAAAAGGTTGATAAACGCTGTGAGAATGGGTCTGCAGAGGAAGTCCGTGGATTGGTCAATTTGGACCAATCAGCGGGGGCTTAACGTAACGGCTCCGCGGACGTAACGTAACGGCTCCACGGATTGGTCCATTTCGTTCCGGGGACGACATGACATCATGCGTACCCGGAAGAATCAAATGGATGATGACGTATCACCAACGAGGCGTTTTGGGGAGGTATTTTCTGTATTAGAGTTTACTCGCTACAGGGTGTACTTTGAGGGTTTTGACTCTGCACACCGTTTACATGCATAAAAACCTTCATAACACACAAGGGGACGGGTAATAACCGGAAAAGCATGACATGTCACCTTTAAAGCGACAATCTTTGTTATCTATGTGGAACGTAGTGGTGTGGAGATAAACTAAAGTGCCTAAGTTCACCTGAGACCTAAGTAGTAAGTAGAGTAAGCCGAAAAAACACAAAACTACAGCAGCATCAAAGCTCAAGCTTTTGTTTTCCATGTTAACACGCGGAGATTCACAGCACGACTGAGAACTACCTGTGAAGCTGAAGCACATCCAGTATTAACAGTTAGTCAGTTTAGTTATAGACTTGTCCTCCATGAAGACTCAAATTCAAGATTCACCTATTTAATCACCTCAATAGGCTGGATACATTCTTTAATCATTTAGTCATCATGGCTGTCGGGCAGATTACGGTGTGGGTTATTGCAATTTGTTTTATAATATCCGGAAATACTCTGCGAGGTAGCTATCATTTCATAATAAACGTATATATGAAAATATATATATTCTCTCTGTTGAATAGCAACAAAGAATGTAAGCCATTATACGATAAGATACACTTATACAAAGATGGTACTTTCCTCTTCAGTGTAGTGAGGAATTTAATAATACAAAATAATATTTTTTTAATAAAAACATCTTAAATGCGGAGGAGCACTGAGTGAGAAAATTAGGGATAAAATGAACTGATTTAAGATTAGTCAGAAAATGATCATCATAATATTAGTTTTGCCTCTCAGGGCTTCCATACATCAGCAACATCAGTAAGATCATTCGACAGTTGCTCAACTTTGACAATGTCCTGAGCCGCAGATCCTCTACGTATATCAACATGCTGTGGAGAACCAGCGTGGAACACACAAGTTCATTAAAAAGCCGATCACCAACAGGTTTTCTTTTAGGTCACTCTCCACACCATGCTACAGGCAGAGTGGACGCAGAGGGGGATTACAATTGGAGAGCTGACGGAGATTGATGTGGTTGCAAAAGTAGTGAGTCCTGTCCTTGGTGGGCGCAGGAGGAAGAGGAGGAGGAAGATGGGGAGGAGGATGAGGAGGTAAAGGGCCAGCAGGAAAGAGGAAGGATACGTTTCTGTGTGGAGGGAGAGGAGGAGGCTGGAGGATGAAGACAGGGGAAGTGGGGGAGGACAGAGGGGAGGAGAGTGTGGAAATGGTGGAAGGGGAAGTGGGGGAGGACAGAGGGGAGGAGAGTGTGGAAATGGTGGAAGGGGAAGTGGGGGAGGACAGAGGGGAGGAGAGTGTGGAAATGGTGGAAGGGGAAGTGGGGGAGACGGGTTCACAACTACAGTGGGATGAAGAAGAACCTGAGACTACAAAAAAGAAAGGAAACAAAAACAGAGTTCAATTAATAATAATTCTTGAGAAAACTGGTGTCGTAGATAAAGCAAGAATTATAACTTTATAAAAATAACGTTACTGAAGAGGCAATCAATTAAACCAAGAGCAGGAAATGTTTTCCTTTGATATAATAAGTAGAAAAAGGTGATACATATAATAACATGAAGGACCTCTTTAATTCAATTTTTATGATTATATCATCAAATAAAACTACAAAAAAGATGAATGAACTGTGCACAACTGGAGTTTTTTCACTGGGGAAGTCTTGAGGTCATCTGTGTGTGTGTTTATTAAGTGTGTGTGTGTGTGTGTTTCTACCTGTGTCTAGGTCGCTGAAGTCAGGCAGGGTCATGGCGTTGAGCTGCCGTCTGTCTGCTATGGCTCTGTCCAGAAGACTGCTGCCACGGCCAGAATCACTGCATCAGGAACATGAGGTTACACACACGTGTACACACACCTGGGTTGATAAGCAATTGAGTTCTTTGCAAGTTCAACTATAGGTAGGGCTATAGCTCGGCTATAGATTAGATAATGTCCTACATTTTGGATATTGTTAATCTCATAAATGTCTTTTCCTTGTTTTCAAAATCTGCATTACAATAAAGTGATGTCATCAGAGCTCGCCTTACTGTTCTGGTTGTTGCCATTAGTTGCTCTTACCCAAATATCCATTATATGCACATACCTAATATTTTTTTGTCAAAAATCCTTGTTTAAATATTTTGTGAAATATTATCACCGATAGTCAACCCTAAAATATCATTGTAAAATCGATTTGGAGGTATTAGATCAGAAATATTGGGATATTTGATTTCCTCGATATCCCCCAGCCGTAGGTAGGGCATCTTAGAAATATAAATATATTTTAACGTTGCACACAATAATAAGCAATACAAATATTTATTTATTTACAAGGATTTGAGGTCATACTATCATAAATGCTATATTACCTTACATTTTATTTAGCTGATGCTATTATTATTATATTAATATTTAGCTATCCTTAATCCCAACCAATGTAAGTGCCACATACAGAACAGAGACACATTCTGAAATGAAAGGTAAATTAAATGGTTTTTTTAAGCATAGGCCAAATTATGTTTGCTAATAATATGCTGCTGTTGTGTGATTTCAACGACATATTTGACATAATAAATCATCTTTTACAACATTGTGAAAACATCATTTTGTAACCATTTGCCTCCTTGTCTACATTCACAAAGAATCTGCAGAGCTTTATAAATTACAAATTCAGTCTTCATCCTCGAAGACATCCTTTACATTTGTTTGGAGCAAACCCAATATGGTTAATAGCTACTGAATGAATGAAAGCAAAACAATTGTCAGGACTGGAATTTGCATTGAGGGGGTGTGTGTGTGTGTGTGTGTGTGTGTGTGTGTGTGTGTGTGTGTGTGTGTGTGTGTGTGTATACCTGGGGTTAGTGAGGTTGTAAAAGCTCTTCCAGATCTGCAGCATGTGTTTACAGGTGAGCAGAGCTTCCTCCGGTCCTCTACACATGGACTCCAGCTTCACCTTGGTGTACAGCAGACTACAACACACACACAATCAGAGAGCAGCCACAGAAAAAAGACACTTTAATGTGTTGCGGTAAGTGTGTGAGTCTCACTTGAAGTTCTCGGGGTACTCGGACAGAGCCATCTCTATGATATTGAGCGCGTCGTGGTAGTGTTTCTGAGCGGAGAGCAGCAGGGCGAGCAGGTGGAGGGAGTGGACGTCATCGCCCTGGAGCTGCAGCGCCTGTCGGACGTAGCCTAGAGCCTCTGGGATCTACGCACACACACATATACAGACTACAGGTTGGAACTACAGTTGGGGTAGAAAAACACTTTGTAAATGGACAGGAATGTCATTTTCTGACTTCCGTTGTCACCACATGAGAGGTGCTACCTGTCTGGAGACGGCGAGCTGCAGCGCCAGGTAGAAGGCTGCGAGATGGTCAGTGGGAGACAGACTCTGAGATCTGGAGAAAGAGAGAGGAGTTGAATTAATACGTTAAATAAGAAGATATGAAACGTTAAAAATATCTCCGGGGGGGAAATTGGGTTGCTGCAGTAGCAGAACAGTATAAAAGTAGCAAACATTGCATAACAATAGATTGGTTTAGAAAACCAAACCGAGGGATATCTTCAAATGTAAGACTCAGTTAGAAACTCTCACGCCATCAAATCAGCAGAATGACCCACTATAAGACCATGTTGTATTGCAGCATTATACAAATGTGATAAAAGCACATTCTGCCTAGTACTCAGATAGTAGAAACAATATGGTCTTAAAATACCACACTACAAGTAAAAGTCCCAACGTTTTTTTTTACATGAGCAGAATAATATAAGTTTTATCAGCAAAATGTACTTCAAATATCAAAAGTAAATGTACTCAGTATGCAGAATTGCTCTTTTCACAATATTATAAAATTATAAAATACTAATATTTTTTTTTGTATCAGCAACAAATGCATATAATAATATCAGGTCATTTTGATATAGTGCTTTGTCACGTTGAACCAATTGCACTTTTAAAAACGCAAATGTGCCAGCGCACGTGTTGTCAAACTGGTAAAGATGTTTCTATATTTGCAATGTGTTGGTTTTATATTTACATCGCTTCTGAGCTGCAGCGCATTTCTCCTATCTGAGATATTTTGGGTTTTTGAAGGGCGTTTTCACCAGTTGGCCACCATAGGATGCAGAATCAAATGTACAACTGGATCAAATTCTACTTTAGAGCAAAACTTGCATAAATGTACTTTGATACATTTCACCACTTGAGTCTATATATTCAATTATTTGTTTACCTTATTATTAGATATTATTATAGCTACAAATCACTCTTCAGTAGGATGTGTCACATGTGTTAAAATAGCCTCTGTGTTTGAGCTATGGGTGTGTTTCCTTCCGCTTGAGGACATGTTTATGGAAAGACAGTATACCCATATATAGTGTGTACACAGATGACAGACATAGGGTTTGAATAACAAACAGGTTGCGTTCTTTTCGGCTGAGCAGCAGTTAGTGCTGCGACAGCGTCCTTCTGAGGGAGGTGTGGGAGTGAAAGAGAAAAGAGAGCGCAGCGTGGCTCAGGCCCAACCTCTGGAAGGCTCCCAAAGCTTTCCTCTGGTACTCCTCCTGCGTGCTCCGCAACGAGGCTGAGGGGGGGCAGAGGCACAGAGTCAGGGAGAGGAAGAGGAGGCAGGATGCAGGCAGGAAGATGTATACAGTAATACAAGTGCGACAGTCTTATGACCATTTCTATTGTAGCATTGGATGTCTTGATGTGTATATGTGGAAGCATTTTATAGAGAACAAGAAACAAAAATGGAGGCAAGCTCTATCGTGTGTGTTTTTAAAAATCATTTTTACATGAGATATGAGACTTCCTTAAGGGTTGTAGCAAAAAAAAGACTAAATCACCTAATCTAATAATCCCTATTTTGAATAAAATGATTATTTTAGGGGGCGGACATCATAATATATAATAACAGAAAATCCTAGCTAGGTTTACCTCAACAAAAGATTTCAATGCAAGACAACCTTGCTTGCTTTACTTGTTGTTATCATTCACAATGACACTATCTTTAAGTAAGGTGTCATAAACCCACAGAGACTTACCGTCAGTGGCTTTCAGGCTGTACACCAGCCCAATGGCCAGGTAGCCTTTGGCTCTGAACTCTGCTGCTTTCTCCCCCATGTCAATCACAATGTTGGCAAAGCACTCCCCGTCATCCAGCTGCATTATGGGAGAAGGTAGATATATAAGGAGAGAAGGAACGGAGAAAGATTTGATTATTATAAAGGTGTTTAGGGTAAGCTAACATATTAGCTAAACGTGGTATATTATACAATGACAACAAACATTGTGAGTAAAACATGAACAATATTATCTTGTAATGAAAGACTACACATTTTATGAAGTGAAGATCGAGCTCTATATTGAAGGAGAGCTCAATATGCCGCAGTTGCTTTACATTGGACACTAAGGCGGCACAATGATTCAACATTGTGGCTGTTTTGACACAATTCTTCACAAACTATAAAATATTATTTGAGATTTTTCTGAATAAATCAGAATTATTAAAGTAACAAGTAACTCAAGCTTTAAGATAAATGTATCTGATCAAATAAACAGTTGTGGCTGGTAATAAAAGAGAATTGATTAAAAAATAAAATGTATGGCCATTTTGACACCATTCATTTGAATGTATAAATATCGAGATATTCTACTTGGCCCAAAGAAAACTGAATATATATTAAAACTAAACCTTTCACACTCTGTAAACTAACTAAAACTAATCTAAAAATGTAAAAGAAAATTCAAAATGTAAGAAAAATTAGAACTGCTGAAAATAAATATTCAAAACTATAATATCAGCATGGTAGCTTGAGAAAACTTCACCAAAGATGTGTAGAACATGTGGGTTTAAGTGTGCAGGAGGGTCCTCCTTACCCAGTGTAGGGGTCCGATACACAGCTTGACAGCCAGCAGTGGGATGGTGGGGTCGTCGGGCTTCAGACGGATGCACTCCTTCAGGACTTTAACGGCCCGCGCTGATTTCCCAGCAGCCATTAGCGATAGAGCGAGCTGGTACCACAGGTGGAACTCCTCGAAGGCAAACTTCATGGCTCTCTCCAGACACTGCAGAAACAGGACACATCTCAATTGGATTGTAATAAAACATTATTTGTTTGAGGAATGGACCAAAAGGAGATTTAGGGTGTTTTAATGTGGGTGTATTATTATGGGATTGGGCTTTAACACTTTCTCTATCACCACAGAGGGACAGCTCACCTCTGACAGCATCTCGTACTGCCCCCTCCTGCCCAGAGCGATGGTCAGCAGGTCGTACACCACCGAGGCCGACTGCAGGCTGATGATGCGATCATTGTTGTGTTCAGGGATCCTGCTGAGGACGGCGTCCCGGTTAGCCTGAAACACACACACACAAATACAGAGATTTAGAAATGGAACATGGTTTAACGAGGTGAGTGGAATATTATTTCCAACTATTTCCAGTCTGAATAGTGTTGGAGAAAGTATTCAGATCTTTAACTTAAGTACAAGTACTGATACCACACTGTAAAATTACTATATTACAAATAAAAAAGTAGTAATATATGTATTTTTTAAGTATTTCATTTAAAATTACCCAATGCAGAAAACATTTAAATAAAATTGAAAAAAGGACACAAAAAAACTCAAAATTATTCTAATTTTTAAAAAAATACTTAAATGTGTACAGGTGCAAAATATTATTGTTTTAATCTGCTAATTTATTAAATTGTCTTTTTGTCCAGGTGTTCTTGAATAGGGCTAGCTAATTTGTTTTATTTATACATTTCATATTTGTATTTTAAGAAATCAGAATACATAGAGTAACGAATAACTGAAGCTTTAAGATAAATGTAGTTGAGTAAAGTATTTCCCTTTGAATTGTAGTTGAGTAGAAGTCTAAAGTGGCATTAAAGAAACCTACCCATCCAAGTAGAAGTACCTCAAATTGGCACTTAAGTACAATACTTGAGTAAATGTACTCTGGTGTGTCTTACCATGGACTCGCTGATCAGCAGCAGCAGCAGAGCCTCCTCTGTGTTCTCCTGAGGGCAGAACAGACTGAGAGGAAAGACAAAAGACAATTAAGGAAAGAAAAAGATGGACAACTCGTTTGGATTCATTAGGGTTGTTTCCCACAGTTTTCCACACATTATCCCTTACTTCCAGGGCCGTTTCTTCCTATAGGCGGACTATGCAGATGCATCCAAAAAACAAATAAAGTATAATTCATACACACAAAGATGAACAAAATTAGTAGAAGCGGGAGGGCTGAAGCATAGCTTATGGGAAGTAGCCCTCCCGTGCATCATCCTAATACAGCGGCATTATTGCGTCAAAAACGTATAGAAATTAAGGAGTACAAAGAAATAAAGAAAACAGGAGAAAAAATTCAATAAAAGTTAGGGCAGGAAAACAATAAATGCATATATATACGAAAACTAGATATAGGGTCATTTTCTGCACATGTCAATAGCAGTTTCAACTATCTTTTTTTGGAAATGAAAATACTATATATAAATATATACATATGTACACATGTACTTGGCAAATGAATAATAATATATGCATATGCATATAATAATATATGCATAATTGCATATAAACATTGTGAACACTTATTTTCAAGTGACTTTTTTTACATTCATATGTTCACGCTGTGGTTTGGAACTGCTTTTGAATGTTAGTAGGCATTTTCTTATGGAAAATAATCAGTACTGTTTTAAGCTATACTATCTCAACACATTTGAATATATTGAGTTTTTTTAAATATGGGAGTTGTGTGTTCATATTTACCAACACCACAGACTATTCGTAACACTTTTTTTTGGGATGTTATTATTCTTTGTAGATTTATTGAGTACGTGTTTCCCCATATTTCGGAGCAGTATTAAAGGTAAGGGAGAAATAGACTGTTATAAAGAGTATCTTTTCTTCAAGAATGTTCTTAGTATGATACAAAATACCTATTGTTTTTGACAGTTTAGTCTGTACATAACTTATATGGTGCTTCCAGTTGAGTTTTTCGTCAACAAGCAGTCCTAAAAATGTACATGCACCAACTTTTTCAATCTCGGTATTGCAAATCCGTATAATGCAGTCATTTCTACTCTCAGACTTTGTATTGAATAACATGTAATTTGTTTTGGCCAAATTAAGGGATCATTTATTAACTGCAAACTAGGGGTGTAACGGTTCACAGAAGTCACGGTTTGGTTCGTATCTCGGTTTGGGGGTCACGGTTCGGTACGGGTTCGGTACAACAAGAAAAAGCAAAAAAAAGTCCCAAATGCATAATTCCAGGTTTGTTATTTATTTTTGAACAGTAGTGCAAGTTTCAGTTTAAAAATAAGGAACTCTGACATTTTGAATACTTAACTGTATTAAACAGTTAAAAACAAACCACAAACAGAACCACACACACTCAGATGGCCATATTATCTATAATGGCTGATGTCAAACAAAAAGGTTTCATCAAGCTGTAAAACTAAAAAGAATGTCTTGAAAATATTACATCATAAATAATAAGAAGGTGTTTCAAGAGCGCATAGTCGTTGAAAAACATATGCCAGAAGCTTCCGTTATTTATTTTGGTCTCTCGGCTCTCACGTCTCTTGGCTTCTTAAAAACAGCGGGGATCAGCTGTTGAACTGCTGCTGTCTTTCGGCCGGGCTCCGGTGATTGGCAAATCTGGGTGATGCCTTCTGATATGATTTAGCATGTTTGGCGTTTGTTGCCATTAGCATACCGCACCGCTGTCTAACAACGCCGACACACCGTCCTCGTCCAATCCACCACTCGTCCGATCCACCACTCGCACACTTCATCGTTATTGTAGTCCACAGGGAACCCGAAATGTTCCCACACTGCTGATTTAAAAGAAGCAGGTGGGTTCTAGCTCCTGTGTGTTATTTGAAATCGCCATACTAACTTTTCTTCTTCTTGTATTTTGTTCTTCATTTGTTGTTTAAGGGCGACTGGCAAACAGGTTTTAGGCGCAATACCGCCCCCTGGATTATATATAGTGTAGTGGATACTGCCCTGAATGACAGACTTTTTTCCCACTCGTAAAAAAAAAGGCGTATTCCTCGTGGACTGCGTGTGCTGAACCGTGACGTCCGAACCGTGACGGTACGGGACGAATACGGATACCGTTACACCCCTACTGCAAACCAGTTACATAGTATTTCTAATTCTATATTCACAATTTTAACAAGATCGCCAAGATTATGATGGGAGCAGAGAATTCAAAGTTCAATATATTTGGGGAGAATTAAAATGAGCCATCTTTATTTGTAGACAGCCAAGCCCCCTCCTGTGAGTGTTCGGTGAAGCATTATATGCTTAAAAATCCAATGTAGGATATAAACACGACTAAACTGCAATGATAGCAAAGCTGTGGCTTGTGTTTTTGGGGTAATAAAGTCCAAATCATCGTTGGGCTGTCAGCCAATAAGTGACCTCTGAGGAAGATGAAAAATGTAAATTAAACATTGTTGAGAAAATGCTGCATCTCTTGCATTTATTGACGTAGAGGAGCCTTATTGTTTACCTTTTTAATATCATTTTTTGTAATTTTCAATTGCTTCGTTTTCGTGAAATTAGCCTGTTTTCCTATTAAAGTGTAACAGATTGATGCATCTCCACAGATCATCTTAAAAGGCATCGGAATCCCCCCCATTGTAGTTAAAAAAACTGTAAAAACTAGGGCCCCCAAACAGCATCTTGCATCGGGCCCCCAAAAAGCTAGAAACGGCCCTGCTTACTTCTCTCCCGAGTAGACCCGGGCGCGTCGGCTCAGGCTGTAGTTCTTGCTGATGGTGTGTCCCTGCCGTGTGGGGTCGTCCAATGGCGACACGGTGGGCGGGTCTTCCAGAGGAGACCAGTAACTCTGTTCACACATCCCTCTGAGCAGGATCTCTGCTAGCTGTCTGGCTATAGTCTGAAACACATACATGCACATTAGGAAAAGGCACTCTGGTAGGAACACAGCAGCAGTCTGTTTACTCTGGGATCACTGTATACTGTCTACTTCAAAGACAGAAGAAGAGGTCATTCTTTTGCCACTATGGATCTCTAAATAAAAACAAGATGGGGTCTGGTGGCCTGTAAGTGAAGCAGCGATGGATCATGGGAGTTTCTCATGCAGTCAGCTTCTCCTGGTTAGGTTTCCTCCTCTCCAAAACAAATGGACCGACAAAGACAACACTGTTTGGATGCCGCTAACGTTAGCTTAGCTTCTGAAATGACCTAAAATCAAGTCCCATTGGTATTACCTTTGATATGGTGTAAATATGGCGTTAAAAACGATCAAGATCAAAAGATCGTATTGTAAATCTGTGGCTTAATCTGTTTAAGAAATACATTTATATCAGTAAGCTGACGTATGCTCAAACATGACAAACAACAAACATTAACCGAAACAAACTCAACATAAATTGATTGAAATTAAAGACTTAGATCTAGGTTTGAAATATGTAAGGAACATTTGGATATAAATATACAGCCAAGTGAGATGTAAACCATAGGTCTTTGTACATTGTAATGCTGAAATGTTCATAGTTTACTTTCTAACAGACTTGTCGAAGAAGATTCTCCTTGAATAAACGAAATGAAAAGCCCCCCCTCACCATGCGCAGGCTCTGGGTGGTTCTGTTCTCCACAGCTCGGAGAATCTCCCGAAAACGGCCCACGCCTCGTGTCAGGTTGCTATGGCAACATAGTGAGGAGAAACAGGAAGAAGGACACTTATTAGAGTCTGTCGTGCTTGTATGTGTGAAGGGAACATATTTTAAAACAGTCTTATCTTATTTTTTTACTGTTTTCGTATATCTATCTTTTAAAATAATTTGCCATTTATTTTCTTTTGTCATGTTTTCTTTCTTTGCTTTGTAGAAACAGCTTAAAAACTGTTGACAAAAGTGTGAATATGACTTTGTCTTATTTTCTATCAATGTGTGAATCAGGGTATAACGTAACATCTGTCTGAACAAGGACCATGCATAACGATACATTAGTCTCAAAGACAGAAATGATGCTATATACCATCTGCAGTCCTTGGGCAGGTAAACAATAACAATCAACAAACAGTGAAGTGCCTGTCACACCAACAATTCAAACAGATCTAAATACAGATGTATATATATATTTTTTAATTTAAGATTGTTTATATTTTTTAAATGTTGATGCTGTGCACATTTTGCATGCCGGCAGCTTCCAATGAAAACAAACCCTTTAATGTGTCATGGTCAGAAATGATGTGATTTGCTTTCTTTGTTAGGGTTTGTTTTAACTGAATTGAATTTCAGGTGAATGAATAAGAAACAGCTTCACTAGCCGTTTCTCAAAGTCGAGGGCGCTTCCTTGGTAGGACATGTCCTTCCGAGTCAGGTCCTTCAGAGGCAAGGCAAGAATCCTTCCTAGCATTCGGAGAACGAAGAACAGGCTAGCAGGTGTGCGTCATATGCAAGGCCCCGCCTTATTGAGCGCGATTTGTTTGAAGACTCATAACTGATTTGCGAAGATGGACACGTTTTTGATGTTGTCTTTTATCCATCAATTTGTTGAGATGGAGGAAGAGATGGAGCGGGAGTATCGTCGGCGTCTGTCTGCTCGGAGGAGGAGGATGTTCTAGTTAATTAAGTCTTCCCGCTTGCCTTCCGTACGAGTTTTATTCTCTAATGTAAATCAAAAAAAAATGAAGCATCCATAATAACTCCATAGTTAGTTTGTGAGTTGTCCTGATGATTTGAATCCCCCTTGGTAGACACCCCTTTCTATTCCCTCTATTTCCTGCTTCCCGCACAACACTTTACTTCTGTTTCAATTTTGCATATATAGTTTGTGCATGTTTGTAGTCGTTACAGTCGTTATCGATGCAGAGAAAATGTGTAATCACATTTAAATTGTATTTTTAATAATGTAAACACACACACAAGCAAATTGCAGATTTAAAAAAAAATAACCATTAACAATTATCAAATGTCAAGTAAACTGAAACTGCCCTCTATTCTTGATGTCGTGCAGGCCCATCATCACTGCATTATTAATGCCACAACGTGGAAATTGGTCCGTGCGCAAAGAATTGTGGGTAATTTAAGACCGCCGAGGATACACATGAGCAGCCTTGAAATGTTCTGCAACGAAGGACTCAGTCCTCGGTAGAATTCCAAGGATCCAGTACATTGGAACAGTCCTTCGGCGGGATTCGATGACGTAGCATCCTTGAAATAGAGGCTCTGAAGGATCCTTCCTTGACATTGAGAAGCAGCCACTGTCTTTAATTGAAGTCACTTAATACTGAAGTAATAGCAAAGCCAATGAGCCAGCACTGAGAAGACACTTTTCAGATTCCCTCCAACCTGCTGCTGTGCTGTAAACAACACTGTGGGGACGACTTCCTGCTGCACTGCCATTATCAACCTGTCCGCTGCTTTTAACACGACACCTACAAAGTGGGTGGGATGTGTTCACAGAAAGTTGGTATTTGTTTTGGGCAACTCATACCTTTTCAAAACTCATTTAAAACATGTTTTTTTATTTAAAAATCTCTGTTTAGTGATTCTCTCGGATGTCTCCTGTATTGATTTGTCCTCCACCCGTTTCCCTGTCTTACCCGTTCTTGAAGTGGATGACGTGTGCCCTCTGCAGGCCCGTCTCCAGGAAGTAGCCCAGTTCCAGGTCCTGGGCGGTCGGGCCAGGCTTCGGGCTGCGGTTCTGAATTCCTGCTGACAACGCCTGCAGAAACACACAGGGGGGGAAAATAAGAAGAAGTTAACACAAAATGCAAGGCAGCTGAAAGTATATTAATGATATGTAAAATACTGCTTCTAACTGTCATTGTATATCAATAAGGAAAACCTATTTTCATAACAAATATATTTTTCAGTGTACCAGATATGTTTATTTAAATAACAGATTGTCTTTTTGTATATTAATTTTGGACAGTTTATTCTCAGAGGAAAACACTACAGTCTAGTTGCAGCAGAGTGAACCCAAAATGTATGGAACGGCCCCAAGCACATAGAAACTGCTGGATGCAAACTTGCATAAGTTGGACAATTTGTTCATTAAAACGAAAGGCATTATAGCATATGTTAGAAATATTTAAAAAATGACCAGGGGGAATTGGAACATTTTAGAGTGGTTTTGGAGGTTATTGAGTCCATTTCTGACATGTTCAGGATCAACAATGGCAAATGGTGTAATCAGTCCCTTAAATCTTCCAAATCAACCCAAAATTAATCATGGTCCAAATCAGCCAAGCCATTTTGAAACTATTGTCCATGACTTTCTTTATGATAATTAACTGAGTATTATTGGGTTTTGGACATTTGAACTTTTACTTGTAAGAATTTGTGATGTGTAGTTCTCACTAGTATTTGGTATATTATAAATAAAATGATTAGTTCTAACACTATCCTAACTTAATATAACTAAAATACTTCAAAATATCTCTATAAATCATGTTGCTGTCCCTCCAAACCACATTCACTGTGTATTGAGGTAACATCATCATACCATGTAATAAAGCTACAGTATGACACCTTCCGTTGTATAAAGCCATGAGTTTATACAATTCATCTCACAGGAAATGAAGTGTCATTAAAAGGTTGAGACGGTTTGATGTTTGCCAACCCAGCCTGTGCATCCTTTCTCCAAATCAACAGGAAGGGGTGAGTTTGCCAGTTGGCTGTCATGGGCGCTGACACATTTGTCAAACGTGCACGCTGTCAGCAGAATATTCCATTTCACACACCCACAGGGGACGGCAGGGTCCAGGTGCTGACAGGTTTCTAATGAGTGTTTGTATAACGACACTGCAATAGAAAACAAGTACGCCACACTCTTAAAAGAAGAGGCCTTATTTAAGACATAAGATCACATGACACACCTTCTCAGCCTCCTGCAGGTAGAGCAGCGCGATGTCTCCAGACTTTTCATAGCAGGTGATGATATCCTGCTCCCGGTCTGTTGCGCTCCTATTGGACGCTGGAGACCCAGTGTTCTGATTGGACAGAGCCGGAGAGGCGGCCGGGACCTTCTCCAGGCACAGTCCTAAAGGAGACATACGGAAATTAAAATGATTTAAGAGTGACAAACGCCATGAGTTAATTCTTCTTTTAATGTTTATCTCAAATGTATTGAACCACACAAAGCCTCATTAAGTTCAAAAAGACAATATCGCAACAAGTGTGCCTTTGAAATGAACGAAAACCCCACCTTAGCTTCAGTGTCTTCCAAAATTGCTCATGTTGGGGCTGTTTATTGATTTGTATTTTGTTATAGTTAAATCCTTATTGTATTGCTGTTTGTATAAAGTAATTTGATCAGTATTCAAATTCATTTTAGAAGTATTTTTGAAGGCAGCTTCAGGCACCGGGTGATTTGGATATTTAACTGGAGGAATGAGGGGAGGCGTGTGACACAGTGGATAGAGCCTTGGTGTTGGGATCAGGGGTGCACAGGTTCAAACCCCACTGCTGTCAGCATGTCGTTGTGTCCCTGAGACACTTCACCCCAAAGTGCTCCTGTGGGGATTGCCCACAGCATTGAGTATGTGAGTCGCTTTGGATAAAAGCGTCTAACAAATGACATGTGATGTAATGAATGATTGGGCACCGAGAAATAGTGTATGTTTTAATATCAGGAAAAGACATGACGTGAAGCCTTCGATATTTGTATGTAAAATATATTGAAACCAAAGGGAAACCAACCGGATGGACCTGGACAATGGGCTTCATCCTGCGTACGCTTGGCTAGCTGGTGCCTCTGTGGCCGGTTGATTTTGTTTTGTTTGTTCTTTGGTTCAAGGACAAATCGCCACTACAGATAAATGCAGGCTTCAAAAAGAGAACAATCTTTTAATGTATCTTTTTTCTATAAAAGTATATAAAGATTCAGTCTTAATCACATTGTCCTTAAGTATAATAATCAATGGAATGTTCTACTTTGGCTTGTTAAACATCACACATTTTATTTAGTCAATATTCAAATTCTGTTTTTTCATGAAAGGTATGTGTAAAGAATCAAAATCCAATCTTTTTAAACTGATGAGGGTGATAGCGTGAAGGATTACACGTGCCCCAAATTAATTTGAGTCTTTTAATCTATTGATTAGAATATATATATTTTTGACACTTGGAAGATCATCTTCTCTTATAGATTATCTGTTTTTGTCTCAAAATATAATAAATCATTTATGTCGTTACATTAATATCTTATCAATCATAAATGACAGGCAGCAACTGTCCGAGCAACTCGTGTCCAGTCACATGGATGAATGACAGCAATACAATGATTCAAGAGGAGCCACAGATGCTGCTGTGTGCATTTCTTCATATCACACTCTACTGCCATCATGTGGAGGAAAGCAGTAGTGCAGAAATAAAGATCAATTATTAGAAAGATTAGGAAGCACAGGACAAAAACGATTGTGAGTGTGTGTGCGTGTGCGTGTGTGTGTGTGTGTGTGTGTGCGTGTGTGCGTGTGTAGACCTTTAGTAGCGTACGCCTCTGCTATCATGGACAGCCTGTACACAGGAGCCCCCCCCAGCTGCATGTCCTCCAGGATCACCCCTGCTGTAGTGACCTGTCAATACATCATTATGGAGAAATATGTAAATACACCAGTATTATACACATACAACTAGGGCTGCAAAAAATTATGAAACGCAATTATTTTGACTGATTTGCAATCGCGATATGATTAACGATATTTAAAAGATTGATAATTTTGCCTCATTATTCTAATTTACATTAAAACAAATATATATAAACATCTCTGCAGATCCACAATGTGTCCTTCAAATGGTATCTAAGAAGTATATATAGCCTTTTACAAATATTATGCTTCCTGCTATGTGACAATTCTACAAGCCCTTTAGGCGATAAGAAAAAACGATATAATTATGCAGCCCTACCTTACAAAAACCTGTCTTTTTTGATGGGAAAATTAATCCCAAATGAATAAACACATATTTTTGCTCTTACCTTTAGCGCTATTTATCAATGTATATTGTTTTGGTGCGCGCTGCCCAGTATTGGCCATAAAGGAATATGCCTTTTCTCCAATGTAATGGAACTGAATGGCACTCTAGTGGTGCTCAAAGCGCCAACAAATTAATTAATTTGAACTAACAGCAATGTCTCTTTTCAGATATAAAGACTTTGTTGTGACAGTTTCATTTAGGAACTATTTTCTTTCTACCGAACTACATCCACCAATGAGTTAGCATGAGCCCCTTGTCCATGAGTAGGATCACGCTTCTTCTGAGCAGTGATACGGTTGGCGCCTCGAAAAATAGTTCCTGCATGAAAAAGCTCACAACAATGTCTGTGAATTATCACGAGCAACTGGGCGTGGATTTGTGGGACGAGACATTACTCAGAACTGTGTCAAATGTTCATTGTTGCGCTTTGAACACAAGCCGAGCGCCAAGTAGTTCTATTATATTTGGAGATAATGCAATTCAGATACCAAGTGACACACACTAAAATAGTCTATTATGATACATAGAACTACAGGAAAGTAAAACACATTTGAGTTATTGATGTGGTCCGTCCCTTCAATGACATTACACTGTGAGCAAACTGTTGATATATGTAAATAAAGCGAACCATAGGAGCATGTAGGTTACCTAAAGCGTCTCGGTGTTCTCCCTCCACATAGCACAGCTTGGCCATCAACAGGCTGGCTTCCTGGAGGTAATCGGCCTGAAAGAGAGACAAATAACACCATTTATCTCTCTTTAATGTCGTCGACTTCAATGTGCTTGGTTTCCGTCTGCAGATGTTTTTTCTACCGATGTTAAAACCTTAAATGAATCCTTTCTGTGGCCCTAAATATGTTACAGAAACCAAAACTCCATAAGTAAAATGAATAAGGAACAATATGAAAGAATACATCCTCCACAGTTACCTTGAGGTTCCCTCTGTCCAGAGCAGCAGTCAGGTGTTTCCTGACCTCCACCAGTTTAGGTCGCGGGCCCCTGGGACTGGCCCCCTGTTTGATGGGGTTCTCCTTCAGGTACGTCTGAAGCTTGCATTCTCCCAGCAACAACTCCCCTAGGTCATCTACACACACACACACACACACACACACACACACACACACACACACACACACACACACACACCACACACACACACACACACACACACACACACACAACACACACACACACACACACACACACACACACACACACACACACACACACACACACACACACACACACACACACACACACACACACACACACACACACACACACACACACACACACACACACACACACACACACACACACACACACACACACACACACACACACACACACCACACACACACACACCACACACACACACACACACACACACCACACACACACACACACACACACACACACACACACACACACACACACACACACACACACACACACACCACACACACCACACACACACACAACACACACACACACACACACACACACACACACACACACCACACACACACACACACACACACACACACACACACACACACACACACACACACACACACACACACACACACACACACACACACACACACACACCTGTTGGTCTCATATCTTAGTTCATTAAGTTGCAATTGAACTATAATCTTCTACAGTCTTCTTTTGTCATTCCAACGACATTCACTTAAATATGATATCAGAGAAAAGCAGAACATCTCCTTTATTAAGAGGCATTTTTCTTTCATCATTTTGGAGCAAATCATCTTTATGATTACTTGATTATCCAAAAAGTTGGTGATTATACTTCTGTCAATCCCCTTACTGTTTAGAAGACTAACTGTTGTATCTGAGGTTGATATATAGTGCAAAGTTCGAAGGTCAATCTAAGGGTAAATAAAAAAACATGAATTTAACATTTGAAATCAAAATAAGATCGCTTTCTAATGACAATGTGACCACTTTAAGGTTCAGTGTATTCATGTAGTATATCTACAATGTAGGTATTGTTAACACTGCAGTGCTTACACACATACCGGGCAGATGAACGTACGGCCTAAGCTTCTGAAGCGGGGTGTGACTGTGGTGAGAGGGTCAGAGTATGAAACCAGCAGTAATCCTGTAGCTCATGCCAGCCAGTGACCGGGCTCATACCTCTCAGGAGCCACATTACATTCCACCATGGCAGCATTTGTTCATAGAACCACTCTGCAACATTCACATGTCCACAGTTGTAAATGTGTCGGTAAGGTTGGTTTTGGTAACATATCTAACAAATAATGAGTAGTCTATAATATAATCACATGTATTCTATGTGAGAATAACATTTTGAAACGTTTTCTCTTAAATATAAAGATGGGAAAATATGTTTTTTCAAGGTTGCAAAGCTTTATACAATTATTTGAATGCAATCTTTTTGTCATCAGGGGATTTTCTGTTACAGTTTAAAGCTCTAACAACATTTCTGTAATGGTGACACAAGCCCGCATATGAAATGTGCGATCGAACATGAGCAGTTCCGAATATTTGCTGCTTGGCTGTGACTCACTTACCATTTGATTCAATCTTTTGCGCTTTTTATTAACAATAGTGATGTCACAGGGTCTTTCACACGTACACATCACTGCAGTACGGTGACAAGTGAAACCACTGGAGGCTAGCAATGAGGACACCATATAAACAAGGCTCTACCATGACTTATATGGCAGAAACCTATGTCAATGGGTCGATTTAAATTGCATGGCATGATGGGATATCATACTGTTTACATGTTTTTTTAATTTATTTGTTAGCACTCTTTCAAATTAGCCCTGTTTCTCACTTGAGGCCAGGAAAAGGCTAGTCTCTGTGACCTTTGTACCTGTGCTGGAATATGATGATCTGCCCATTACCTGCACAAGTTAGATGCCGCCTATCACAGCGCACTGAGATTTGTCACTAACTGTAAAGCACTTACTCATCACTGCACCCTGTATGCCAGGGCAGGTTTGCCATCACTAACTGTACGGAGACTCAGTCATTGGTACATGTTCATTTATAAAGCCATGTTGGGTAAACTCCTGTCTTACATCTGCTCTCTGATCTGAGAGGTGCAGGGAGCTATTGTCTGAGATCTCATGATGTGGTTTTGTTACATGTGCCAGGACTGACTTAGGTACGAAAGCTTTTATGTGCGCAGCTCCACTTGCTTGGAACAGTCTTCAAAAAGATTTGAAACTGAGCAAATGGGTTCCACTGCCTGTTTTTAAAGCTAGGATAGGTGCAATGATACTTGAAACTGTTGGTACTTGTCAATGTCTCTAGGTAGGTAAATGTGGCCCTGTAAATACGATGTCCTTTAGTGTTATCTGTTGTTTTGTGTTCATGTTGTAACCTACTTGCTGACAGGTCTCCCTTGAAAAAGAGATCGATGATCTCAATGGGACCACCTGGTTAAATAAAGGTTTGAATGAATGAATGAAAAAATGCCGTTTACAATTCAGCATCAGCATCAGCGAGGAGTTTGACAGCTATCATGTAGCATCACGCCTGCTAGCCACACAGCGAAGTTAAGTGAAGCTAGACTGCGAGGCGAAACCATCACGGCAATTAGCGCAATTTAAAAAGTGTGTACGATACATATGGGCAGGGCTAATGTTAAAGCATACAACTAATACATAGAATATTCTAGATACAGTCAATTCGACATTATCAAGTTCTCAACTGAAGGACATATTACCCACTTTAAGAAAGGTAAAACAATATTGTAATTTTGATATGAAGGTTTTTTGAATGTCGATAATAGGCGACTGAATAGTTTATCATTGAAGTAAAGTTAATACATTCACCTAATGACAGGTGTTTATAGCTCCGCTTGACAGGAGAGGGCAGAACTATAACAGGAACTAAGCTAAGTTCTCCTTATCTAAAAATCTAAGTATCTCATTGTGTACACACACCATACTGCCCAAATGTGGTTAAATCCTCTGTAAAAAGGAATAATTCTGGTACTTGACCTTTGCTAGCTAACTAGCTGTCACCACAGCACAGTGCAGTAAAACTCCCAGGCTCGGCTTCTTCTGTCAGGAAGTGCCGAGGACTGAGAGCAGGGAGCAGGCCTTACAGACTGAATGAACCAAACACCCGCACACTGCTTACCGTTTGATATGAGTTTGGCCGAGAGCTGTCGTACTAGCTCCGGTATCTTGTCCCATTGACTCTCTGAACGGCACCGCTCTATCTCGGTCTCCAGTCGTGAGCCAGACTTCCTTGCTGTCATTTTTGAGAGTGGGCTCGCCTGGACCAAAACACCACAGGAGGAGAATCCCTCTCGCTGTACAGGAGACAAGCTACCGTGAAGTACAAAGACGGCTTCCGCTCAATACTTTCAAAAATAAAGCTTCAAAAACCAATGGTGCCAAGTTTATGAAAATACAAAAAATGACTGATTACTTTTTATATTATATGTAATATATATATTATAGAATATTTATAACCAACATCCACAGAAGGGTTCAGATTCTTAATACAATTGTGTGTTTAAATTGATCAAGTTACTTTCACACACTGTGTATGGTTATAGTTTAAAAACATTATTGATTTAGATTTTTTTTCTATAACTGTTTATGCTTGCTCTCTTAATATCTAACTAATTACATTATGTATGCGTTGTTTTCTTTCTCTAGAGTCTAGATGCACACAGTCACACTCACTAAATGTCCCCAAATATTGATCAACAATTAGTCTAATACATTTTGATTTATTGTTACTTGTATACAAAATGTGCAGCAAAACAGTTATTTTTTAGCAAGGAAGGCTTTTATTCTGAAAAAGTCAGATAGGAAGTGAGCACGCAGACAACCACATCGTTGTGAGGTGGAAGGAGTGACTGCGATGGCAGATTTGTCTTTGTATTTAACGAATGTGAATGTTTCACTGGGGCAAACTATGGAAACTGATAAGGTGAGTCCGTGTTATACTACTTTATTCGGTTTTCTTGTTTGTGAATGATAAAACACTGACTTTTTGTATTAACAGTGGATTACTTCCTTAGCCGCGAAGCTAACCGTCAACAAACAAACAAAGTAGCTAGCTAATAAGCTAACTTAAACTTTTGTTAAAACATTTGAGACTATTTACTTGACTTACCGTACTTTGTAGTTACACCATATTAGGATTTATAATTTACTTCTTATCAAGTTAGTAAACTACTTTCTAGGTAGTTGAGTTTGTCATGTTTTACTTTTTACGAGTTCATTGTGCCAAATATGCAGCCAGTGTGGGAGGGCACATCAAACACCATGCACACATATCTGTTAGCATGCTCGCGCCTTGTCTAAAAGCAATAACAAATAACTATTACACAAATATTCTATATTTACTAATTACACTGGTGATGAAATGATATACACGTATGGTCTGTCCTGACAGGGTCTAAAAGGAGAGACAGACCTTGAGAGGGTGGAAATGGGAGACTCTGCGGGGAGGCAGGGCAAAGTGAAGGTTCCTCGCAGGACCATCTTCTTTGCCAGTGGAGAGACCATGGAGGAGTACAGCACCGATGAAGAGGAGGAAGTGGAGGAGCCTGTGAAGAGAGATGTCTTACCTGATACGGTTTGAAACTCACTTTACTGAAACCAACAGGATTGTACAGACTCTAAACAAGCCTCAGATCTACGGCATATCCCTTGTGAAGTGTTAGAGCAATCTTACTGACCTGTCATATGCAAATCCATTACAATGTGGCTATTAACCTCAATACAGAAGAAGCCTAAAACATCAGCAAATAGCCTCAAATGTGTTGGATATATTAAATCAATCTGACTTTGGCTTCTGCTCGAGATGTTATTTGGAAATACAGTGGTGGAGTCAGCATTATAAACAGGGCTGCACATAACTGGTGCGCATGCGCACCTCCGCCAAAAAAAGAGCACCGGGTCATTTGAAACAAAGCGCATTTGCGTACCAACATTGGGAGAGGGAGAAGAGAAAATAGAGGAGAGAGAGAGAGAAAGAAAGATATTTGCGAGTTGCATATGAACCATGATATGAACTCAGGGCCGGCCCGTAGCGCTGGCTAGATGTTCGCCTCGGGCGCCAGATCTGTGGAGGTGCTGCGCTGGCAGTTCTGGGAGGGAAAAAAACATTTTGACCGTTGGGGCTCATCCTAATTTTCGGCCTTGATGTAACAATATTCATAATTAAGTAAATGTAACACCCTTTTCACCCCGGTTACACGTTTAATTTACCCTGTACGATGGGCGCTGTAAGTGATGAAAATGGGGGATGTTGGCTTATCTGGCGCCCGCAGCTCACAGCCAAAATGCGAGTGAGCGTGGGAGAGAGAGAAGGGCGCACCGCCCGGTACCGGCGCTGTTGTTATTAGAATCTGGTGCTAGCTGCTCTAACGGATATAAGAAGAAGATGTTTCTACAATAATGTGGAGGGAGAGTCCTCTCCAGTCAGACTGAGAGGCTGATACTACAGCTCAGTGAGGTAAAGGACTCTTAGTCTAAGTTCAAACGGTTTGGTCACAATTTATGTAAACACATATTTCCAAGGCACCTTTATAATTATTGGGATAAACAGGTTTCAAATAATTCCAATGTATACTATAGGACAGTAACCAAAAATATCCTTTAAAACTGGAGAGATAAAAAAAAAGCATAAATGTTAAGGTAAAATAAGATATGAACAACACAAATAAAATAAGTTACATTAAATTGTTATTGGCTATGGATTATTGGTTATGTTCACATACTTATTTGATTACATCCACTTGTCTAAGATGACAACAGAGACTTTCGACCCAAACCCAGCTGTTGACTTGTGGATGCAAGCATCTAATCACAGACTCAACCAGAGAGAAATAAGTAGGCCTACATCATCAGCTACCATGTCTGACCGAGAGGAAGACAGTGAGGAGAACAGTCAGGAGGGGAGTGATGACAGCTTGTAGGATTACTGGTCGTGCTAATGTTGTCTTGTGTTCACCTCTGCATGTGTGTTCTGTGTTCACCTCTGTGTGTTCTGTGTTCACCTCTGTGTGTTCTGTGTTCACCTCTGCATGTGTGTTCTGTGTTCACCTCTGCATGTGTGTTCTGTGTTCACCTCTGCATGTGTGTTCTGTGTTCACCTCTGCATGTGTGTTCTGTGTTCACCTCTGCATGTGTGTTCTGTGTTCACCTCTGCATGTGAGTTCTGTGTTCACCTCTGTGTGTTCTGTGTTCACCTCTGCATGTGTGTTCTGTGTTCACCTCTGCATGTGTGTTCTGTGTTCACCTCTGCATGTGTGTTCTGTGTTCACCTCTGTGTGTTCTGTGTTCACCTCTGCATGTGTGTTCTGTGTTCACCTCTGCATGTGTTTTCTGTGTTCACCTCTGCATGTGTGTTCTGTGTTCACCTCTGCATGTGTGTTCTGTGTTCACCTCTGCATGTGTGTTCTGTGTTCACCTCTGTGTGTTCTGTGTTCACCTCTGCATGTGTGTTCTGTGTTCACCTCTGCATGTGTTTTCTGTGTTCACCTCTGCATGTGTGTTCTGTGTTCACCTCTGCATGTGTGTTCTGTGTTCACCTCTGCATGTGTGTTCTGTGTTCACCTCTGTGTGTGTGTTCTGTGTTCACCTCTGCATGTGTGTTCTGTGTTCACCTCTGCATGTGTGTTCTGTGTTCACCTCTGCATGTGTGTTCTGTGTTCACCTCTGTGTGTGTGTTCTGTGTTCACCTCTGCATGTGTGTTCAGTGCCGTGTGTCTGGCAAATAATGTCAAGACCCCCTCAAAAGTTACGGTTTATTTCATTTTAAGGATGAGCACCAAGCAACATCTCCAGGTGCTCCTTTGAGAACCAGGGCAAAAAAGTTATGTGCCCCCCTGATTATAAATCCTTTATTCACCCGGCAGCAATCATTTACAGCAATACAACAGTCAAATCAAAAGGCTGTTAAGTTCAATTGTGCAGTTCATTGATTTTTCTGGCAATTATTTCCTTAATGAATGGTTTGGTTTATAACATTTAAGAAAATAGTGATAAATGTCAGTCGGAAACAAAAGGCATGTCCTTTATTATGATATCAAACAGAGAGAAACAGACAATGTTCACATATGAGAAGCTGAAAAAAGCCCTTTTGCTTTAAAAACGATGTTTATGATTAAAAGTGAATATAATTGTTGTTGTTTTTCCCTGTCAAACAACTAATCAATTATTCATTTTCAAAGTGGTATCCTCAGCAATCTGCCAGGTGGTCCACAAAATAAATAGTTAAAGTGTGCAGTATCATAAAAAGTGCAATGTGTTTAAGTGGAAGAGTTTTAATTTACAATAGTTCCAATGTGTTTCAAGCCTAAGCATACTTGTTATTACAATTATGACGGGGTCCTTGGAAAATGTCCCTTCTTCTAATCATGGGTCCCGGCCCCCTCAACATTTGAGAACCTCTGCTTCAATAATGTGATGATGTGTTCTTAGGTCACTGGTGTTCTTTTGTGTTTTTAATTTTCATGTTCTCCTAATTTTAGTCCAAACTGACCTGGGGTCCATACTTCTGGTTCCACATGTGGAGAATGGGCACTTCTACTATCTCAGGTAAAGAAGATCTGTCAGTTGGCACTCATGCTAGCAAGTACCAATCGCACCTGGTTCGGAAATGTCAAGAGATTTTTAGAGTTGTTCCAGACCGAGTCAATCATTACAATGTTATAAATACTCTGCAGAAATACTGGGAAATTAGCAAACGTTCAAATAAGATGCTTTAACTTCAAACGTTTTTAGCTTGAATTTGTATTTGTATTCCTTCATATCAAAGATATATATATATAATGAGTGTATGTTTCTGTTCTGTAGTGTGTGACTTCATGGGAGAGAGACTGGCTTCACTGTTCGGCATCACTTCTCCTAAATACCAGTACGCTATAGATGAATACTACCGCATCAAGAAAGAGGTAGGACACATGTGCACACACATCCTTGAGTTTCATTGCAATGTATATGTATTTATATAAGGGATGATTATTTTCTCAATAATGACCAGCTCGCTGCAAATGACTCAAATTATTACACGTCTTCTTACTTAATAAAATAATCATTTGACTCCACAATAGTCAATTAAAAAAGATTTGATTGATTTTAAAATGATAGTATTTTGTCCCTTTGACCAAAATAGTCTGTTGTACTGTGCATGACTTTTTCTTTTCTTTACTGGGGACAGTTTAGCCATCAATAATACAAAGTTTCATGCTGTCCACAAATATAAAAATGGATATTGAAAAAGTATTTCATGGTGTTTTCTGGTAGAGGAAAACAAATTATGTTTTGGGATATAACTGATGTGAAATTGACCGGACTTCTTTTTCTGCGGATTGATATGACCACACATAGTCTTTTGATCGGAGCATCCTTAGCAACGGTCTGCTATCGAAAAAGAGCAGATGGCTGAATGTCCAAATTGACAAATCAGAATCAAGTGTTCAACTAAGCCGTATAATAAGTAAATATATATAAAGTCACACCTTTTGAAACCTGTTTGCGCAATGGCTGGAGCAGGAACACAAAAAACAAATGTCAAACAATACATAAGTAGTACTAAAAGCAACACTCTCCACTGTCCCGCAGGAGGAGGAGGAGGAGGAGGAGAACCGTCTGGCTGACACTGCGGAGCGTCGCTTTGCGGACCAGCGCAGTGTCGAGCAGGACGACCCCCACCCTGCCACCATGGAGCAGCCGGAAGCTTCCAGAGCCTCCTTTGTAAACATTAGCTTCGAGCTGGAACCTGAAGCTCCTCTCAGCACCGCAGAGACCAACAGAGTCCCCTCCCCCCTGCCCTCATGAAAACTCCCACATTTCTCTCCGTTACAAGTCTGAAAACATACATTTACTTTGCTTTATAGATTATTAATACTGTTATTTGTTTATTTGATAGTAGTCAGTGCAGGGAGAAATACAAAGGGCTGTAGCAGTGACTGCACTCGCTGTACCTGTGAATTTAAAGGGCATTTCAATCCTATGCAAGACCGAGAGGTATCTTTGAACTGTTTTGTGGACTAGAAAAAGGTTCAATTGAGAAAGGGAAATAAAGGCTGGATGTTAAACTGAAATAGATCCTTCCTCCCTGAGCATGAACACACACATGATTCTACTACTGGATATATGCAAAGTCAGACATTTCACAACATTAGCCACGTTTGTAGAGACACCACCCGAGTTATGGCATCCAACATCCAAAACATCCAACATCTACATTCACAGGAGTAAGATTTGGTTTCACATATTGGCTAATAATATCTACCTAGCATATGCATCTTCCTGCAGGTGTTCTATAATGTCTGTACTTAGCAGCATATACTAACTGATTTCGTGGCACTCCTGCAAAGAATTATCACTAAGATCCAATTCATCTCTGTGCCTAGTGTATTGATAGACTTAAAAAACCTCCTGGTCACTATAGTGTCTTTTAAGATGAAGATGAGTGTTGCACCACTATTGTGCAGATGGATCTATGTCATTGAGATTTGGAGCCGTGTAAGAAGTAGCAGTTTTTGTTCAAATGTCCTTTAATACTCAAAGAAACGTTACAATTTCTTTGTACTTCTTTCTATGTAAACGTTGTGATTCTGTGATGATATCAATTGACAAAAAGAAACAACCTATGGTAATTGTTTTCTTCAAGAAAGGGCAAATGTTGGCAAATATTGATTTAGTTATACAATCTGATGGTACTCAAATGTATTGTTGGCGAATGATCTAGATTCTACACTATTGCCTTCATGTTGTTATTGAGGGTTCATCTCAAAGTGTCCTTGTTGAAGCGTCTGAGTGTAGCAGCGTAATGCTGACACTGAGCTATCGTAAGCTGCTTATTGATACTTGTATCCTCCCACGTGGCTGAGTGTCATCACATCTCAGCCTGGAATGGTTCAGATTCACAGAAATGACAATGATCTAGTTCAAGAAGAGATTTATATATGGGCTTTAAAGAAGTAGTGAGAGCTAGATTGCAACGTATCAGTATGTTAATAACTCTGTGGGTGAAGGTCTGTCTGTAGGCAATGAAGGATGTTAGTTGTGCTTTTTAAATGTATAAAAAGTTCCAATGTGCTAAAGTTATTTTAACAATCCTTTATTGAATATGTGTGTATACATATTTATATTTTCTGTGTTAATAAAACCGTTAAACATTCAAAAGGTTCTTCTGTTTTTAATTTTATACACAATATTTCAAAAAAACAATATTAAAGGTGAAAAGCAACTACAGATACAACATGGATAGAAACAGGAAAAAAACAATATATATATAAACGGAGAAAACAAGGTGACTTACAGAACTTCACATTAGATTTATATATATATATATATTCATATGTTTCTCGCCTCTTCACTAACAAAACAAACCCTGTAACACTGGGGGAAACTGTAAAGAGAGAAACAATTAAAATGGTGGGATAAGGAAGAAGTGAAAAAGAAATAGCTATCCCATTGTATTCTAAAGGAATCAAAACCCTCTTTTTACTACAGAAGGTTTGGTTTCAGCCTTATCATTTACTATTTTCAATTACTGAAATATAGAAAAGGAAAATCTCAAGGAGTTACAAATATATATATATACACAAATATGTAATTTATGAAGTGGTTGTTTTAGGTTGCCATGGCAACCTACATATGTATGTCCAATATTCGTCCACCTTTTTTATCTTTTTTCTGTGTTTTCAAATGAACTTAAGCAAAACAGTGAGCTATCCATTATAGCCACTTTCAATTGAATTTGACAGTCATTTAAAGGACATTTCTATTATACAAAGAAAAGTGAAGCATGTAGGCATTGTGAGGAAAGGAACTTTAAGGAAACATTTATTTAAAAAAAGGTCAAAGACAAAAACACATGTATGACATTTTCCATACAGGAACATAGCAGTCGGGAACAAAAAGCACTGTGTCTCCTCCTTCCATCAATCCATTCATTTCTCCAGGCTCTGGGAAACAGGAAGTGTTCAGTGCTTTCAGCTTGGGAGTGAAACGTTGGTACCAGGAGCGTCGCTTCTGCCACATAATCTTCAGTTGTCGTCCAGATCTGCCATGCTGCTGCTGCCGTCGTTGTCGCTGGCAACCAGCACCTCTCTGTTCTCGTAGGTCCAGAAGCCGTTGAGGTCGATCAGGATGCTGGTGACTGTGTCGCCCTGGCAACTGTTCACCAAGTCCTGGAGGGTGATCTTGTAGGGGTCTTTAGGCTTCACCATGTCGTAGATCTCATCCTGAGGAGAGGCAGCGATCAGAAACGGAATTCTTCACCCAAAAACCCCCAAAAGTCTGGATTTGTGTGAACTTTACCTTTACATCCTGGAACGTGACCTGCTCCTGTCCGTGGAGTTTCATCTGCTCCTGGATGGCCTGGAGAACAGAACATGCAACAGCATCACAGATGTGTGTATTCTTGTATTTCTGACGCCCATACAAATATACAAGGAATGTAGTCTAGCCTTAAAAAAAAAAAATACAAATAAATAAGGAAACTAATAAAATAAATAATAATACCATTTTTTTTTTTTAAAGGAATGAGAGGATCTAGGATGACAATTTACCCTGAAGAAAAAGTTGAGGGAGAACACGTTGAGGTATCCTCGATTCTCCATGTCCAAAAGTTTGAAAATGTACTGCAATGCTGCCGGCTCCTTCCTGTTCTCCAACGCCAACACAAAGTCTAGATAGGTCTTATAGTCCTGAGGTAAAGGAAGAGACACACAATTATTCATTCTTAATCTACATGTACAACTTAGACCCAGGACACAAGAGTCCGTAACATAAAAGGATGCATAAGAGGAGAGGTGTAGTAATTTTCAAATGAATAAAAAGTCTAAACCCTGTTCACCACTTATGTGCCATTTCAGTCTTTTTGTTAGACATCGCTCTGCAACACTATTGATTAGAAACCACTAGAGTAACAATTGAGTTCCAGGACCTTTGTATGATAACTCTGTTTCTGATCGTACCATTTCCCCGTCGTAGGTGAGGCACTCCTGGAACACTCTGTCCAGGAAGACGGAGGTGAGCGTGGCAGTGCCGTAGCGTGAGAGCTCCTCTTTGCTCAGCATGCCGTTGTGGTCCTTATCCAGGTTCAGGTACTGGCCTGTAATGATACAACACATCATAAGTGGAATCAACTTTGGTGGATGTTTGGTTCTGCAAAACCAGCCAACTTGCAGTTTACTGTTATCTATGTCAAAGAAATGTCATCACCTTTGACCACAATTTCAGTACAACCGGCTGTGAGGCATACAAGTCCACAAGTAATAGAAACAAAATCATGACCAGTGACTTGCTCTAGTCTATCGTTTTTCCGGATTCCCTACACTGACAAAGCCAAGCTACTCTATTTCTAATGACTCAATATCCCAGTTTCTGCACCCACAAAAGTATTTTAGTTTGGTTAGTTCATGTAATATTTGATTTATAAGCCGATAACATTCCTTAGGATCATCATGAAGACTTGATGAGAGACTGGAAGCCTGACATTCACGCTTAGACATTTTCTCACCGTAGACTCTGAGAGCTGAGGGGGCAGAGAACCAGTTGGACTCCTGACTCTCTTTAGACAGCTCCTCGTCTCTCAACTAGGAGCAGAGAGGAAGAGGAGAACAGAGAAAGAGAGAGGAAGAAAAACATGACATCAGCTGGTCTGTACACTGGTGGGAATATTGCCCTTACAATTTGATATAAGACAGTATTAATCCAGATAAAGAGCTACGATCCTCTTTTAAAGGTCCCATGACATGGCCATTTCTACTGATCATAATTCCATTGTTGAGGTCTACTAGAATACATTTACATTGTTCAATTGGTTTCTCAAACAGCATCTCTGTATAGTATGTGTATTCACTCTGTCCTAAACGCCTTGTTGGAGCTCCTGCCCCCCCCCCTCCCTGTGAGCCCACTGTGCTCTGATTGGTCAGCTCGCCCACTCTGTTCTGATGAGTCCACCACCGTTACAGCGGAACATCAGTGATTATGTGTTACAATGGCGTTAGCAACCAGAAAATGACACCAGTAACGACAAACAGATGAGAATGCTGCGTGGGGTCTGGGTGCCGTGTTGGCGGGAGGTTGCGCGGCTCGCTGCTGCGAGGAGCGGACAGTGTGAACAGGGTTACTGGTGTGGTTTCCTGGTTGCTGCGTGGGGTCTGCGAGACAGCGCGAAACTCATCCTGAGCACACACAAACACTCACAGCCGAAGTAAAAACAATAAGTGTGGCTTGATATTGAGTAAGAAAAAGGTTTATAACGCTGTGAGAATGGGTCTGCGGAGAGCATTTCTCTGCGATCCCAACTCGTCTATTACCAACGTTCACTGCGTTTGGTAGTGACGCCAAGGGATCCTGGTGTGTGAGGAGCTCCACGGATTGGTCCATTTTGGACCAATGGCTCCCCGGGCGCCGTACATAATGGCAGCCCACTGCTCCTAACACTAGGATGGGTCACCTATTCCAATCAAGGTTCCAGTGGGGACCTTGCTCCCTGCGTGTGCCTCTCCACCTCGGTTCCTTACTTCTTACTTGCTACCCCTTTCCCTCAACCTATCCTAAGGGAGTGCATGTACGTAGACACGTTAGTTTTGCTGCTATAGGCTTGGACTGTCGGGGGACACCTTACTTCTTCCTTCTGTCTGTCTGTACCTGTGTACTCTCATGTTCCGATTAACCCAGTTTCCCCCAAATGTATTTGTTGTGTCTATCTATGCCGGGATCCTGAGTCGTGGCTGATCCTGTTGCTGTGGTCCTGTGTCCTGGATCCTCTATCCTGAGTTCTGGATTTGAGTCGTGGACTTCGGGTCGTGGCTGAACCTGTCTCTGTGGTCCTGCCTGACTCTCACCATGCTGCTTCCCTGATGGCTTCCACAGGATTGTTGACATCCTCGTGGATTCATCTTCTTATTACAGACACATGCATTTCCTAACATTCGGTCTATATGCTGTAAAATGTATTATCTCTTATATTTGCACACGGCATCTATTGCACGTCTGTCCGTGCTGGGAGAGGGATCCCTCCTCTGTTGCTCTCCCTGAGGTTTCTCCCATGTTCCCCTTTAAACTGTGGGTTTTCTCTGGAAGTTTTTCCTTGTACGATGTGAGGGTCCAAGGACAGAGGGTGTCGTATTCTCATAATGATATTCTGTACAAACTGTGCTGTTGTATTTGTTGTAAAGTGTCTTTATTGTAAAGTATTTTTATTGTATGCACAGCACTTTGGCTCGACCAAAAATCGTTTTAAAAATGTGCTATATAAATAAAACTTGATTTGATAAAAAGCTACATAACACACAAGGGGACAGGTAATAACCAGAAAAGCATGACATGGGACCTTTCAAATATGAGGTTTGGTCCTTTTACTGCTGGCTGGTAGTGTAGAAACCAAATCAACTTGTCACGTTTGATCACATATACCTACAACAACCAAAACATTGACTTCTTAAAAAGAATTAGAGTAATAAAAAAGGTTCTACCTCCAATAAATCATCCAGAAAACTGCAGGCTAATATATCCTGGATTTTGATCTTTCCTGAAAAACAAAACAGACACACTCTCAGTAAAGGATAAGTAATGTATTATTTAATATTTTACTTTAGAGATACATTTGTATAATGTGTGTGGTTCACACTCACCTGTTCGGAGGGGGTCGAGGAAGAAAAAGAACTTCCTGACAGCGGTGCAGACGTAGAAGGAGTAGAAGGACTTCTCCAGTCCGTCCAGCTGAGGCAGAGTGGGGATCAGCTCCAGGATGTAGTTCTCCAGATCCTATTTCACAAAAATGATGGCTTTTTAAGAATCATTTCAGCGCATTGAAACTGTTTAAATGTGTCTTTAAGTGATGGAAGTGCCTACCGACTCTCTGAGGTGGCCCTGTCCTGCTACATCATACAGACTCAGGCCGATACGGGTCTGATGCAGCCACACTACAGACAGAAGAGAGTACAAGTTAGTCACCAGTTCAGATGAATCCATGTCAGTAAACTAGGCTGGGAGATACTTAAACAAACTAATATAAAGGGAAATATCCTAATGTATGCTTAGTTTTGAGTTAAGGTAAAGGAGCTTTTTGACATTTGTTGTACCTTCTAAAAGGTATTTTATATATTAAACATGTAAAAAGAGGAAACATATGAAGGTCCGGACCTTTCCTCATGACGTAGTTGAAGAACTGCATGATGGAGATCCTGCCGTAGGGGTCGCTGTGGAGCAGCTTGGCGTACACTCTGGCTGTGAAGAATTTACTGAAGTAAAGAGAGGAGAGAAGTGGAGTGAAGCTCTTATTTGATTTGATCTTACTCTATTTGATCTGAAAGCCCTTTGAATCTTCAATATTAGGTTTTTTCCCCTGGATACAGAACTATTTTAACGGGACCTTTTTCTTGACTTTTCGAGATTCAATTAATCTTCTCTATTCACATCAAAGACCGATTTCTATTAACATTAAAAAACATTTAAAAGAACATTTTTAATTAAACATTTTTGGTTTAAGATAATGCATAATTTGCAATTGTAAACACTACATAATTCCTAATTAAAAAAAAGTGTCTTCATGGAATATTTCAACTGGGGAAATCTATGGTGATATATATTAGTTATTTGTTTACTCTATTCACCTGTAGTGTCTTGCAACATGTAAACAACTCATACATTATTCATCAATGGATACTTTTAAACGTTGTTTATTCTTAAAATGAGTTTTTTCTCAAACTCCTCAATCTGTACTTCAGTAGCACAACAAAATAACTTTCCAGTAGTGACACAATTGTTTTGTTTTGCCTGAATACAGTCGTACCCAAAGGCAAGACACATAGACGGCGCCTAAGGGATCTAAGAAGTGACAGCAGAGGGATTTCCCATAATGAACCTTTGATCCAGCATGAATCCTTGGTGCAAACAGGAACACATCAAAGACTGGCACAGGGAGGGGTGTTACCCAAACTGTGCAGTGCCAGTAAACCTCTACTTCCTGTTCGTCACCTGCACTTGGGCCCGGCCTGCTCCCCCACCTGCAGGTAGGCTTCATAGCTGATCATGGCCTCCTCCCCGCTCACTGGAGGCACCTGGTGCTTATCGAGCAGGAACCACAGGTTCTACAGGAACACAAGGAGGAAGAGAATACAGAAATAATCAAATAAAACCCTACAATGTTGTTACTCATGTAGAAGTAGGTCATTATGTTGTGACTGACTGAAGTGTTTACCTGCAGTTCCTCATTATCCAGCAGCTCTCTGCTCTTCCTCTGCAGGAACACGGCTCTGGATTCCTCTCTCAGTTTCTGAAGTAACACTTCATCCTCTGCTGGTAGCTGCACAGCAATATAATCCTCATCATCACTAACAAGTGTTACTGTACCCTTCGGTATTGTACTGTATGAGCATTTTCATCACAGTTATTATCAAAACATCTGAGTTACAGTCATTAGACACCTTGAAGGAAAACTGCATTCACTAGTTTTCTTCTTTCTAATGTAATATCTTTTTGTTATCGTCATCTCAATGTGAGCTTGCCTGATAAACACGTCTTGAAAGACTGCGATGTTGCACTTTGAATATCCCAGTAAATCAAGTGTCGTCACCATATATTAAATCGTTCTTCTGACAATGATAACATATTTACAAATATCACAAAGTGTGCAACAAATCCATTTTGATTAGATTGCATTTTGGGGACTGAGATGGATACTAGACATAGTCACATGCCAATTTAACACAATCAGCTACATTTGTATCAACTCACAAAAGCAACTAAAATATGATAAGACAATGTCATCACTGGAGTCTCCAGTAGGGGAGTGCACTTGGACAGAAATGGTGATTCAGACATACCATTGGAAACTTTCAAATAAAAGTGTATCTTAAAGATGATGATATGTATCGTTGATCATTTCATCCGTACAGCAATCAAGATCAATGTATTGTTATGCCGGTACTAGTAACAATGTATTAGATTACATTCTGTAAAAAGGTACTATTTTGTCTGATGTGCACAATCCTGTTAACTTTGGGACTTTTTGTGAACATCCAGATGTTCAAGAATGTTTTTAATGACCTTTTGTGTTCAGTTGATCAATTTGTTCAAGAATTTAGTAAATCATTTTTGAAAATCACTGAATACTTTGTGGGAAATATTGGCAGTATACTGAATGCAGCAGAAAGGTAGAACTGGGTACACCTTAATATCTGCCCACTTATTGCTATTGATATTGTTAGTGTGATATTCAACAACAAATTGGCATTATTTTCTATTAAGCGACAATACTATTTATATGACTTTACATATTGTTGTTCTTACATATTACTCTTTGAAATGTAATATTTAAGTGCACTTGTTTGGCAGATTCTGTGATTGGGATTTAGTGATGCCAAGGGTTGAATCATTGGTCTTGTACCACAACACAATCAAAACGACATGAATGCAAACACTTTTCATTGGGTTTGTATGTTATGTATCAATATAATACCCTGTAGTAAAATCGTGGGATGGTCTTGTAGGACTTGTCTTTGTCGCCTCCTTCCTTCCACTCTGTATAGTATTTGGTGAACAGCTCTGTTTCTTCTGCTTTCTTTTCCTCTTCGCTCCTCTCATCTGTAACGTCACACCAACAGTTCATGTTGACTTAGCTAACCGGTGACTTAAGCTATCAATCCACAGTAGCTAGCTTTAGCCGCCGGTATGTTACATTAGTTTACATTTTTGTCTCACCTTTTTTTGCGTTTGCTAATCTTCTTTTCAAAATATCCGACCAATGAGGTTGTTTTTCTTTAGCCATACTTGCTAAGAAGCCAATTAAATATTTCGTCAGTATATTTTAGCCATTCCAAAAGACAAAAATATGACAAAAGTAGACTTGTGTACTAAAGTAGCCAAGCTGCCCAAAAGTGAGACAACGTCAAGTAACTGACTGAACAAGAGTAAGGCTTCCGTTTTGAGTTTAGTATTTCAAAATAAAAGTCTACTTATGTAAACATTTGGAATATGTCATAGTCTAATGGTTGAGGATTAACAAAAAGGCAACGTATGTGAATTGATATTTATTCCAAAAATGCTGTAATAATGTGTATTTATATTTGTTATCTTTCTGTTTTAATTGACAAAATGTTCGCCTTTATTCTACCGCCAAAATCGCGCATTCCGGTCTTTCTCTGGCTATTTTTCACAAACTTGACACACGGAGCTGTCAAGCGTTGATGACGTCAATGTGTGCGACATTAGTCCATGCCTACAGTTTACAGTTGCATTTGTCCATGAAGTAATTCAAAAAGATATATGCTGTTAACTTCTGATATCAAGGGAATGTGTGAGTCGCATTTAAAGACATAAAGGTATGCGTCGAGCTAACGAGACAGTGATAGTAATCTTCAGATAGCAAGTAGCATTTGGAAACGGCAAGGTTATTGATACATGTAGCTAACAACATGTGGTAGTTTTATAGTCAGTTTATCTGGGAAATACCTGTATATGTCATGTCAGTTAAGGAATATAGCTGATTTATAACGGAAGTGGATGTGAAGTGTAGTAATAGATAATCTAAGTTAAATTCAGAGGCTAACATGGGCTCCACATTGATGTTTAAAGGCAGAATATGCTTGAAGCCTTTCTATCACCAGGGGAGTTTCTTCACATTAAACTCTTCCATTTTCAAGTCATCACACCTGCCTCTCTCAGCACGCTCCCTGTGCACCAGAGACCCTTACCCCAAACCTGGAGCCAGGCACACAGACAGAAGGTCTGATGCGCAGGGGGGAGTAAACAAGAGCACCTCTCAAAACAGGGAAGAGGATTGTTGGGATGGTGCTAGAAGAGGTCAGAGCTCCACTATTAGGCAGAAGCCTTCCTTCCCCAAATCTGTGTTTGCTGCCGGGAATGCAAAGAGAACAGCAGAGATCCAGAAGAGGAAAGCAGCGTTGTTCTTTCAGGAGGAGGAGCAGCATGGAGGGGAACGTGAACGGAGGACGAGTAGAGGAACAGGTAGGACACACTGACGTGGAGTTCTGATTTGCTCACTAAAGCTGTCACACAGACAGATGTTTGTGGTGCAAAAACATTTTAAAATACAAATTGTTTGCAGGAACAGAGCACTTTTAATCTGTGCACAAATAATTGTTGTTATACTTTCTTAATAGGCATTTTGCTAGGGCTGTGTATTGGAAATAATCTGATGATATGATTCATATCCTGTAAAAGGGGTTACAATTCAATATATTGCGACTCATCATTAACAAGGTGATGTATTGCAAATGTAATATCTTATTTTAGGAATAGTGTCATTACAATGAACTCATCACCATATGCATTACATCGTTTTTTATCCAATCAGGACAGTGGGCGCTGAATGTGCATTTGTTAAAGTCCTTGTAACTTTTAATCGTTGCACAATTCTTTTTTGCAATCTGAGCAAAGCTATTAAAAAAGGAAATTTCAGATTTGTGTTTTGTTCAAGGTTCAAGGTTCTTTATTTGTGCCTACAGTTACATGTTTACATGCTTAAGTGTTCAAAGATGTCTTTACTTTTCTGTGAACCTTCAGGTTTGAGCCTTTGCAGACCACTCATGCACAAACGCCTATACAACACACTTAGGAAAGGGGAAATCCCCACAAGCCTAATAGGGCTCCTTAACATTTTCCTATATCAATAAAGACAAAGATAGGGACAAATAATCTTGCAGTAAAATAAGTTCATTAAAAATGTAAACAAACAGTGAAAATGACTATTTATTATTTAGCTATTCATTAAAATTGATCAATTGTTTTTGACAATTTATTCCATATCGCAAAACACCTTTAAACTCTAAGTTTTGGTTAACAGTGTTTTTTATTTTTTGCTTTAGTGCCTAAATCCTAAATAAGTCTACCAAAGTGTTTTGGAATAATAATTGAGCTTGATGTTTACAGCATTTCTGCAACCTCCCGATCGGCCGCTCTCAGCTGCTGAGTGGAGGGATCTGAAGGAGTCTCTGGGAAATATACCCCGCTTTGACATCCGCATGATGTGCACACTGTTCACCACCGCGGCAGAGCTGAATATCGCTAAGTAAGAGGAGGACCAGTGTGTTTGTGTCAGTGATCTTGACAACTCTTATTTAGGTCTCAATTGTCCTCACTTTAATTATATATCTTTTTTTTTTGCTGAATCAGAAAACATTTTCTTTTCTGATAGGGAAATGTACTGTCCTCTAGCAGCAAGGTCGGGTGTCTGACAGGTGCAAACGTGCTACAACTGCCCAAAACATTTCCCTTAGGAGCAACGCGCTGCAGCTTCAGAAACGATGCATATCTAAAAACACAAATGTGCCAAAACACATGCAAAAGAAGAAACAATTTCACCAACTTGAAGCAACATTCGCAGTGTTTACAAAAACTCTACGCATGTGTTTAAATGTTGCGTTTTTTTATTTGCAGTGTTTTATATTTGCAGCTTTTCGTTAATGCATCGCTTTAAAGGTCCCATGTCATGGCCATTTCTACTGATCATAATTCCATTGTTGAGGTCTACTAGAATAGATTTACATTGTTCAATGTTCCAAACTCACAATGGTTTCTCATCCAGCATCTCTGTATAGTATGTGTATTCACTCTGTCCTACACGGCTTGTTGGAGCTCCTGCCCCCCCCCCCCCCCTCCCTATGAGCCCACTGTGCTCTGATTGGTCAGCTCGCCCACTCTGTTCTGATGAGTCCTCCACCGTTACAGCGGAACATCAGTGATTATGTGTTACAATGGTGTTTGTTAGCAACCAGAAAATGACACCAGTAATGACAAACAGATGAGAATGCTGCGTGGGGCCTGGGTACTGTGTTGGCGGCACGTTGCGCGGCTCGCTGCTGCGAGGAGCGGACAGTGTGAGCTGGGTTCATTTCCTGCTTGCTGCGTGGGGTCTGCGAGACAGCTAGACGTCGCAAATGGACGCGGGAAAGAGGGGATGCTGAGGGGGCTGCAGCACCCCCATCTGCGAGGCTCCACTAGCACCCGCACCCGCACCCCCATACGCGGCACACCTACAGTGTAAGCGCGCCACAGTTTCGCTGCTGCGAGGCTCCACTAGCACCCCCTCCCCCACGTCACTGTACCCAGGAAGAACACAATGGAAAAAGAAAAATGTCCAACGAGGCGTTCTGGGGCAGCAGACAGGTATTTTCTGTGTTAGAGTTTTACTCACTACAGGGTGTACTTTGAGGGTTTGTGACTTTGCAGACCGTTTACATGCAGAAAAACCTTCATAACACACAAGGGGACGGGTAATAACCAGAAAAGCATGACATGGGACCTTTAAGTAAGCATGTTTCGTCAAGTTCGTGAAGATGTTTCTTTATTTGCATGTGTTTTGGCACTTTTGTGTTTTTATATTTGCATCTGATGTAGTTTGGGCCGTTGTCCACCTGTCAGCCACCGTAGAAAAGGACCTTTGCAGATGAAACACAAAAATAAAGAATAGAAAGTTGAAAAGAAAGCCAGTGCTAGCCTACTCTATATGTTAGCCTATTTAAATCTCAAGAACTATCCCTTTGAATTCATCGCAAATATACAAATAAATGTCAATGACAGCTTTTCGTATGTTACTAAATTGAACTGTACCTTTCTACCACAGGTCACTACTGACTTTGAAGCCACGGAAACAGGGACGCTCTCCTATGAGCTGTTACTACGGTACCTGACGTTGTGTGTGCACGGCGGACACGATGCCGAGGTGTTCGATGTCTATGAAATAATGCGAGGAAATTTCCCTGCTCTGGACACAGGAGCCTCCAGCCTCTTTATCCAATCCTTCAGCCGCACAGAGAGGTGGAGGGAGGCCATCAGCGTCCTCGACAAGTTTAAGAAGGTGAACAGCGTTTCGATTTTTACCTAAAAATCACATAAAAGGGATAGTTTGGATGTGTTACAGTGCGCTTGTATAAGGTCAACTTTTTTCCAAATTCTGATATGCTGCACATATTTCATTTTCTAGTAATTTTAAATAGTGTATAAAATATGTATATGTATGCACTGTTATACTCCAAAGCAAATTATTTAAACGTGTACAGTACACCTGGGTAAATGACCTGATTCTGTTTAATAGGGTAAAAGTACTGTTTTTTTTATGGAGTCTGGTGGCTTAAAAGAGAGCTAGATACCTGTCAAAAGCATAGACTGTATATCTGTCTCAGAACAAGGTAAAGTATTGAAAAAATATCGAAATATTGCCTAAACTTGAACTGATACTGGGTTTTTTACGGTGGCTTGAATTTGTTTTATTGCCGTCCGCATCAGTACATTGTTTTTCTTCCTGCTTGTAGACTGCCATCTACTGTAAGTAATACACTGACTATGGATAAGTACTTCACACAACCCCACTTCAAACAGTCCGAACTATCCCTTTAAATCCATATTGGAGCTGGAGGACATGGCATCCTTACTTTATCATCACCTAGTTTTTCCGTTATCCTAACAGGTGTTTACCCCTTCACCACGTAACTATGGGGAAATTATCACCGCAGCGATGTTGAATGGAGACACCACCACCGCCTGGGCCCTGTATGATGAAATCATTGAAAAGGGTCTGACCCCGCACCAGGAAACCTGGGAGGCTCTGTTTAAGGCAGCGGGGAACCCTAAGCAGGAGGAGGCCATGTCTGCCTCTGAGTACCAGGAGAGGCTGCTGGGAATTCTGCTCCACATGAGGGACAACCAGATCTACCCCCAGCACAGCCTCACCAGCACCATCAAGGCCTCGTTTGAAAGGTATTGGAGAGTGGGGGGAGACTTTCAGGGTTAGATGGGAAACTAAGGATGGATATACATTATTCTAATTCCTAATTTCAGCAGCTTCTGTTCTCTAGACTTTTGATATTAAAAATGGGGTTTGTGTGTGTGCAAAGATTTCAATGCAGGGTCAGAAATCCT